AGAGCTGGGAGGGCAGCGCCACGGCCGCACAGCGCAGGCACCACGCGGCGGCCAGCCGCGCCGACGCGCTGGGGTGGAGCAGCACGGACACCACCGTGTCCAGGACCCCTGCGGACGACAGGGCACACCGAGCTGCGTGAGGCGCCCGCTGCCCCCGTGCCTTTGCAGACAGGCGGGCCCCGGGGTGCGAGCAGTCACAGCGCAGTCCAGTGAACGCTTGAGATGAGTTTACGAAAATGAAGAAAATGGCCACCTCCGGAGAACCACTGAAGGAGACAGACACGAGGTGTATCTCCCACAGTGCCCAGAACCGCAACAGTTTTACAGAGGTTTTTATAGGCCCAGTCGAGCCATCTTATTACCATTAATGGGGGGGTAAAAAGTCGGCATTCTACTTATTGGCTATTCTTGATGTTGTCCCGCCTTTCAGCTATTTCTGTGGTGTCACGTACAGCAGCAGGCATCCATTCTAAAATTCTCTCAAGCCGGGTCAGGAGACCAGGTCAATGACTCCAGGCCAGAGCCAGATATCTACACCTTCCAATCTGCAGATGCTTAGAAGCAAACATCTTCTGGCAAGATAAAACAGTTCTGTATGAACTGAGCGATGTTTTTTAGAGGCAGTTTAAGAAATGAACGTAAAGAGTTAAACTGAATATTTCTGGGATCACTGTGGCCTTGTAGAAGACGCAAAAGTGTCTTCTGATTTCACTGCTTTTTCAAGATCCTGCCTTTTGTTCCTAGCAGCAGCTTTAGGACAGGTCACACAAGCATGTAGAAAGAACGTGTTTTGGTTATTTTCTATATGGACTGGCTGCCCAGAGCAGGGACCTGAACATTTTAGGCAGAGGGCTTTGTCTTCTGTCTCATCAGAGAGGGCGCTGGCTTGTGGTTGTGGGACTGAGTATTGTCTACAGAGGCCTCTGAATTTAAAATATTTTAACGACATGTACAGTTCAGCTCTTTAGAATAAGATGAATTTCTGCCTAACAATGTCTAATGGAGCCCTGTGCCAAAGAAAGATAATGGATTATGGGTTTGTACTGATAAAAAACAACTCTTACCATACTTTTTGGCCATTAGGTTCATTCACAAACACTGGGTTCATTATATGGACCTCGAAAAACCCTGTGTTCTTGGCCAGCCATCAACACAGATGACTTTGAAGTGGATACAATACTGATTCAACATATTGCAAGTGTACTAGAAGCAGGACACCCATTGATAAAATACGACTTCACAGTCCAGGAGCAGAATAAGTATTTTACATGTGGCAGTTATTGATAACCCTGTGTGCGGAAGGTTATTGACTGGCGTTCCCAGAACCGAAAGGATCAATGAAGGGAGCCTGTGATAATTCCCCAGCCTGAAGTCTGTCTGCACTGTGCAGTGAATTAGAAAGCACTGAAATTTTACTTCTTAGCAATAAAGTTGAAACATGAGTTGTATTAATAATTGATCAATAGTGCTGACTCTCTCATGCTAGGAGCTGACTTTGAGGGAACCTTTGCTTTGATTTTTTTTAGATGAAAGTCTTTGCATTTGAAAGAAAATCTACAACCGGGAAGTCAATATGAACAAGATCTACCACTGAAGGGGTATTTTATATTCTGTAAAAATAATTTTATTCTATTTAATGTTTATAAGGATCCATAAGAAAAGATAATGCATTCAGTCAGAGAAGAAGACATCCTAAAGATTAACAGTCAGCCCTTATTTCACTTGATTAATCAAATGAAAAGATCTCACTCACTTCTACCAATTTTCATGAAGTCTCAGGCATGAATTACAGAGAATCACAACAATGTAAAAATTCACATTAGACCACAAAAAACAAAAGTCATTAAACTCTATTGCACAGAACAAAGTTCTAGCAGAGAGCAGGGTGCAAGTCCTATCACAACTCCTGACAACACCTCATGAACATGGTCATGGACGCAGGACTACTTGCTGGTCATTTCCTGCAGTAACGGGACATCTCTTTCCTGTACCTGTGCTGGCGTCCTGCAGCAGAGGGGTGGCAGTGGAGGCCAGACCCTGAACCAGACTGCCCAGCTCCAGCAGGGCGCAGACCAGCACATGCTGGCTGGCCGAGACATCCAACGTTCCCACCCTCGTCTCCACATTGCTCTCGCTCATGGCGGCATCTGTAGGTTCAAGACAGAAAAGGCACTTTTCCCCATCAGCTGAGCCACACCTGCAGCTACAAAGGAACATCCAAAGGCCCCCCCCAAAAAAAACCTGAACCAGAAATAAATACACTTACGTTTTAAAGGAAAAATAAGAATGCTATTTCTAAGTTTGCTTTCAAAATAAGGAACAGAAAAAGACTACAATCCTAGGGATGGAAGATAATACCCACTGCAGCAAGATGCTTCAAACACCACTTTGTTTTATGGTTTTTTTATATACACTTCTTTCAAAAGGGAAAAAAATAGCAACTGTCACTTAGTTGAAGCCCTTTATAAGTTCCTGAAAAGGGTATTTTGAAGTTTTGCATTCTGATGTCACTCGGCATTCTTCTGCCAGCTGAAGTAATTATTTTCAGAAAGGGAAGACACTAGATGTCCCGTTCCTGTTCTGTCTATCAGGATTTCTGTCACCAGCCAAAGAATGTTTATTTTTAACCAGGATATTTGGGCCAATAACTGCCACTTGGGATGTTGCGTCTTGTCTTCAGAGCAGGAGCAGTTGCAAGCGTGACCGATTTCAAGCTGACCCACCAGAGCACTCACCTACAGCTCTCTTCTGTCGGCCCACCGCCTGGCAGATCTCCTTGGCGGCCGCGATCTGGGCCTTCTCCCCCAGCAGCCCCCCCACTGTGGCACGCAGGACGAAGGAGATGCATCGGCGGCAGAAGATGGCGTCTGCCGGAGTCTGCGTGGCCTTGGGGTGGGACACCAGCTCCAAGACGAGCCCCAGCAGGGCCGAGAAGTTCCTCTCCAGCCAGGGGCCACCCAGACAGGAGACGAACACGACACAGGCCTGCGGGACAGAGACGCCCTTCACCGTGACACAGGCAGCCTCACCAAGGCTGCAGCTGGGAAACTCACCCCCCCCCAGGGTGGAAAACATCTTCCATAGCACTCAGGGGGAAAACATTGCACATGTACATGCTGCAACAGCTTGAACAGACACGACTGCCAGGACTAAACCAGCTTCAACGTCAAACTGAATGTCACAACTTAAAGGAAACGGATGAACGAGGGGACAAAAAAATGGAAATATCAAAGTTTGATCAAAGATTCTTCTGAAATTACAAGTATTTGACGGGTTCCAACAGTACTTAACATAACTTTATTAGCCCCATACAATTTCTTGCATTAGGAATTCGTCTTTTCGCATACCCCAGCTTGCTCTCCATGAGACACAGACAGGGAGAGAAGCTTGGGGTCAGAGCGCAGGCTCAGCCATTGTACAGCGCCCCTGGAGCAGTTGGGGTGAAGGGCCTTGCTCAGGGGCCCAACGAAGTAGGATTCCTCTGCCGGCTGCGGGATTTAAACCGGCAACCTTCCAGTCACAGGCACAGATCCTGAGCCACAGAGCCACCGCTCCGCCCCACTCTTGCTGTCAGCAAGAACAATACCAGTGTCAGATTTCTCCAATACGGGTCTCCTGACAATCAGCTGCACGGCTGACCAGGAGACAAGTCCACTAACTCAGAACGGAATCCTGGCTGCTCAGGGTGTCTGCAGCTCAATGCTGGGGCTCCCGTTTCCAGCGTCACGCAGACTACAGACCTTCTGTTTTTATTCTCGGCAGGAAAGTCAGCAGTGGAGGCTCACATTAATCACATTCTGGAGGCCACGAGATTATGTGGAAGAAAAACCCTTTCCCAGGGGAGACAATTAAATATCTATTAGGAATTCAATGAAGCGGGATGTCGTAACAAAGCCCCATCTTAATTTGACAGCAATTTAATCAAGAATTACTATTTATCCGGTGCAGGAGCAGCATAATTCATTTTTTTTCTTTCCTGAAGCCGAGTTAAAATGGGAGTTAATACAGACTTCGAGGGGATATTAGACAGAGAGTGTAACTTCCCACTATTGTCCCCACGCTGTGTGAACCTGTTTGGCGATCTCAAAAGAAGGCAAATGTGTTTGGATTACACAACATGGTACTACTGCTGATGTATTTAAAAATAACCAGGAGTACTCTTGGATCTTGCACCGTCGACGTAGCAGCAAAATGTTACTAGTGTGGAAAGATATTATGCATACACAAAGTTAAAAATGATGTTTTAGCTTCTCTTCTACAGCTTAGTACACGAATATCTGAACAACACGTAACTGGTGTAACAGTTCCCTTGACGTATGTTCATTCCAACTTTGTCGGCAGTGCAAAATGTGAAGCATTATATTCTTTGTTATGAATTAAAAAAAACAGCTTAAAAAAAGAAAATATGGAAATGGAGCAGGGGGATATGGACTGTGAATGAACAACTACAGACATCTTCACCCACAGTTCTCTACTAACGTGATTGCTACAGCAAATAAGACTAACGGGAAAACCTAGACAACGCAATTGTCAATGCAAACTCTTCAACTGAGACTTGAGAAAATAAAGGCTTTCCTACACAAAATGAATGAAACCAGGAAGCGAACAGCCACTGCTACCCAGCTCCACCCACACGGTACCCATCGTCTATCTAGCTGAAGGTCACTGGTCACTGGCGCAGACTAACCTGAGTGATGCCCACTCTGACGTCCCTGCTGACCGAGCTGGTGCCCTTCAGCATGTCCCCGCCAGCCCGCAGGAACCCCGTGCCCCCACGCAGAAACCCCGAGGCCAGGAGGTCCATCACCTCCTCCAGGGAGGTCTTCTTCAGACTCTGCCTGGGCGCTGCTGGGAGAGGGAGAGGGAGGCAGGAACAAGGAAAGAGAGAGAATGAGAACCAGCTGAAGCCTTGCAGGAAGGCAGGCAGACACTCCCTAGAGCCCCAAGCAGTGTGCCAAAATATAAATACACTTCTGAAGGCAATTCTCATCTTAAACATTTCAAAACCTGTTTCATTTTACTGTAACATGAACCTTAGGAGCTTGGTTGTGGTACAATATGCACTTTTTGTCATAATTTATCAGTGCTACACATGGTAAAAATACAGCCAGTCTAGAATGAGTACCTGCTTTGTTCTCATGGCTAATCAGTCAGCATCTTAAGAGTGGTATAAGGTCAATGCCTCGCTCGCAAAATCAGAAATTTGTAACACTAATCACATTTTAGTTTCCATTAGTCAGCTGAACAATCGTGATTTCTTTGGCTTCCAGCTGTTTCACTGCCCACAGCTCTTGTATTGATCTGAGACTGGGAAGGGACTGAACGGCTAGAAAGCAATCTGTTTGCTGACACCTGCTGAAATATCAGACACTATCCTTTCCTTATCATCCCCCATCATTCAATACGTCGGGACAAGAGCTGTGTATTCCTGGATCATCACATCCAGTCCATATTACAACTATATATCACACACCTGAAGAAGGCTCCACGGCCGAAACGTTGTGTTCTCTTTCTTCTTTTTTTCAGCATGGAATAAACCTATTACTTGTTCCTTTGCATATTACAACTATATTACCGGTTAGAGCCATTATCTGTACATTTTCATCATTTCATATGCACACTATATACACACACAAAATGCCACAACATTTTAAACTCTTTTGTGCTAAAATAAGATTACTTTAATAAGCAGGGTTAAGCAAACACACAACCAAAAGCATATTTAGGGAATTCATTTCCAGCTGAAAGCAGCAACATGGAAAACCTTCGTTTTCCAACTCTCACCTGTGGCTTGTTTAGGCATTACAGCTGCTGCGAGAATGGTGCCCAGGAGCTTTGAAACAGCCATCCGCACATCATAGTTGGAGCCTTCAAAGGCCTTGAAGCACAAGGTGACCACGTTCTCCAGCTCTGAGGTTCGAAGGAAAATGGCTTCGTTTTGGAGCTCCAGGAGGCACTGGGAATTGAACAAAAGCCCACAAATATAAATTCTTAAAATACTTAAATACCGAAAGTTGCTTTCAGATTTGATCTATAAATCCCAGCTGATTTCCAGGCTGCTGTTCCATAAATAAAGACCCATATTTTGTACATATGCTGTACTTGTATATACAGCTGTATACTGACAAGCAGCGTTATTCAGGAAATTTAAAAAGGCCACAACTACTGGTAGGACAAAAGGATAAACACTGGAGACCACTGGACTTGTGGGACAAATGTAGCTGATATGTTTGTTTTCTTTCACAAAAGAAATCAGCCTGTTTATTTAATGAACAAGTTACTTTTAACTCAATTCCCCGAGAAGCTTTAAATGCATCAAATTAAGATGGTGCTAGCAGGCAACCAGATTTTTAATAATTGAAGGTGCACATTGCAGTTTGGTAAACAGACACATTTTAATTTTCTGTTATGATCCACACATTCACAATTAACCACAGTTAAACCAGCCTTTTGTGTTTGCTCAGAAGTACTTTTTAAAATTATATTTTAAAAAGGGCTTCAATATTTAAAAAGTCCTAGAGCAGTGCTTGTGAGCTTCCTCACATACTGCTTTCAATTTTTATGTGTCACTACAGCAAACTGCAAAACTCCTGTCAATGTCAGACCGTAGTTGAAAATCTCAAGGCTTTTAATTTCTCTGGTTTGGACACTCAGGGGTCAAAATGCAGGGCTGAAGAAGGGCTCGGAGCACTCACATTAACCAACAGCCTGCGAGGAACTCAGCATGCAGCAGAACGCACAGTCATTTCCCCTGCTCTCTGTAGTGTCTGTTTGGTCCCACAGAAACCAAACATGCCACTGAATGGGAGCCAACGATCCAAACAGACCACAGGAGATAAGGACTGCTTAAGAATTTGCCTTCTTCGCAAGTTTTTTTTTAGTGTCAAAGGGTCCCCTGAACAGGCATAGGCGTCAAACTCTTCACAAAAAAATCAGCTAATATACTTGAGATCACTTATAACGAAGGCATTAAAGGGACAGCAAAGCCTATCGGATTGCTCTAGAACACAAGCATATGAACAGCGGACAAAGAAAACAGTTTGCCTGCTGCGGTTTTCATGACAAACCCGTTTTGACAGACAACACAACACTCTGCTATAAAGTCAACCCCTCACTCTCAGGCTGTACCAAAATCGACTGAGTCTGGTGATATTTTAAAAACCTGGGTTCAGCACCACTCCCAAGTTTTACTTTAATTCCAATTTGATTCTATTACATCAAAGTCTAGGAAGAAAAGAATGACCATCGGAGAAATGACTACCCTGCCATCTTCTATCAGACAAACTCAATTAACATAAGCCAGGCAAAGCAGCAGGCAAGAGAGCTGCATTTCAATCAGAATGGTTTCAGTTTTCCAACCCCCTGAGAGCTCGTGTGGGTTACGAACCAATCATTCTGCAAGCAAAATGGGAAAAAACACATCACCAGACAGAGCAACCTGCCATTTTAATGTTACTATGCTCATTTCTGAATGAAATGTCAAAAAAGTAACTGCAACCTACGGGCACCGAACTCTGTGTGCATCAGCATCCTATTCATTCTTTCACCACCGCCTGTACAATCGGTCATACATCTCTGAACTCCTCCATGTTAACACTTCCTCCCGTAGACTCCATAGCTGAGGTAGGTCCTTTGCTCATCGTTTCCAGGATTAAATCTCAGACTTCTGGTCGCAGTGCTTCTTCTCTCACTGCTTCACTGCCATGGAATGCCCTTCAGCACAGCCCGCCTCTTCAGAACCAAATTACTTGACTCTCTTCAAATCTGACCCCAAGAACACAGCTGGATGAAGTCAGGCACTGAGCATCACGGGTGTGCTTTTTTCACATCAGACCTTTCACGGCAGAACAAAAGGCCCCCACTAACGACACAGCAGCCAGAGGCCGAGCCTGGCTCCGCCGCCTGGACTGGTGTGCGCGAGAACAGGAGCCTGTCTTTGCATCGCCGCGCGAGGAGTCGAGATCTCCGGGCCAGCGGGGGGCCGCCCTACCTTGGCGGCCGCACAGCGTACAGCCATGGAGCGGTCAGTCAGGCAGACGCGAGCCGCCTTGTAGATCTCCCTGTGGCAGGGCACCGCGCTCACTCCCAGGCCACGCAGAATCTTCTCCAGGCTCAGCATGATCTCATAGCGGCCCCGAGACTGCAGGCAGAGCAGAGCAACTCAATCAGCAAAGGTCTTCTTCCACTTACAGATCAATAATAGGTCACAGATAAACAGGGGCAGAAAGAGAAAGTAGCGAATCATTACCCATGTAGTGCTAAGCTGTTTTGAAAACTGGATGCTTTATTGTGTCGTTTTAGATCATTGTAAATTTTATCATCATGGATTGGCTTTTCTCAAATGAATGGGCGGCACTAGCTAAATGGAATCAATTGAAATCACAGAATATCATCTGAAATATTCGCAGGATTATTCAATGCAAAGTCAATGGTGAATGTATTAGCCCAAATTTGATGACCCGGAGAACACACTCAGATTGTGTCTCCCATTTACACGAATGTGTTACTTTCCACACTAACGAAGGCCTCCAGATTTTGAGAGCAATTAACCTGATTTCTAGCTCACAGCAGGTTCCAACAGGGCACAGAGACGGCCAGAGCCTCAATACTACAAAATCCTTCTAATAAAGAAAAAAGACAGTGCTGTGCTGTTTCTAACACCTGATGCCAGCATGAGCAGGTGAGAGGTCAATGAAGTGAAGTGAGAGCTTCACTGTTCTCTCACTACAGCCCCAGCATGGTGAACATCGGAGCCGTTTATAATGGAGCAGTTTAATGTCCCTGACACTTTTCATCAGTGGGCTGCAGCTCCTTACCTCTGCACTCTTCATTGCCTTAAGCAGGTTCCCCACGGTGTCGGTGAAGGTGTTCCCCAGCAGCCGGCCCAGCTGTTCGTACAAAGCACCCAGACAGGCCACTGCAGCCCTGAAAACACACAAGTGGCATCTGAGCGGCGCCCAGCCCTTCACTGGACAGACGCACTGTAGTGTCCATTTGCCCCCGCAGCAACAGGCCTAGTCTCCACACTGTCTGTTAATTCTTCCAACACCATAACGACAAGATATGGAGGATTATCTGTACCACCTGCACACAATTAAGACAGCTCTTAGGTTGTTACTTCCAGGTATTTAAGTCCTACATTCACAGTCTCCCTTGCTCAGTCACTGGGTCTTCCTACAGTAACACAACTCGCAGTCCTTGCTAGCTTTTCAACGTTTATTCCAGTTTATACTCTGTTTTGTGTACCGACTAGTTATAGGATTTCCCCTGCGTTTGGTATTTTCACCCTCTGTGATTCAACCCAGTTTTTTGTGCATGTCTTGGACAGATTCCCGTGCCTTGAACCCTTGCCTGCTTTTTGGATTCTTTTTCAGATTCTCCAAAGCAGTTTAATCAGTCTCTCATGACCCCTGTCCGTGACTTCAGACCTCAGTTTTCTCAGAGCCTAAATGTGGATCTAGTCTCCTGATCTTGGATGCTTCTACCATCATGTTAGTGGACTGTTTTTTCCACCCTCATGATTATAATGAGCCTCCTGAAAGAGTTAATAGATCTCCTCCAATTTTACAGTAGATTTCTAGAGCACAAGTGAATCATGCTCTAGAAATCACCCATTTAAGCTTTCATATTTCTTTTAACATTGCGCAGAAATGGCTTGGTTGGATGTCAAACCAGAATTAATTGATTTTTTTAAAATAAACCAAAGAAACTTCAAACTTGTGTGAATCCTGGACTGCTGAAAAGAGAGACAAGGACAGCCCCGCAAAAAATAAAAAGATCACACAGATCGCATTATCCCCACCTCCTCAATCCTTTATCTTCACTTCATATGAAAAGAGCCAGAAAAATCTCCTCATTTATGCTACAGACCCCAAGTATTAAGGACCAGGGGCTCGAGGCCCAGCAGCGTGTTCTCTGGACTCACAGCCTGGTGGGCAGGCAGCTGGGCGAGTCGTCTTTGCTGCGGATGATATCGTTGCACTTGTCCACGGTGTGGTGTGCGGAGAAGGTGTCGCCCACGCTGTAGAGCAGGGCCAGGTCATGGGCTAAAAGCCAGCGGGTGGGGGGCCCTGGGGAGCTGTTCAGCACCGCCAGCAGCTGCTCCACCAGCTTCTTCTGCTTCTCCTTCACATCGGCCTGCAGGGAGCACAGGACAAGCCCACTCAGAAATCCCTGGTTTTCCCCGGTGAACCCCGTACACCACCCATTCCACCGAAGGAGCAGAGCAAGGTTTTTAAAATGCCACCCATCCACAAAGACGTTCGGATTTAATAGATCGGCTGCTGTCACTGCTGCTTGTCTGGGTCATTCGTGTAAAAGACCGACGCAGAAAACCTACCTCAAGCTCTTCGGTGAAAACACTCTTACCAAGTGCAATAATGAGGCACGTAAAGCTCTGAGCAGTACGTGTTGCATCTCTAAAACTGAACGGACAGCACCAGAGCATATCGTAGGTCTCATCGAAATGTTTATATGACAATAACCCCTTCTCATTACAGTCCTTAATTCCTCCTTAACACTGAAGGCTTCAGTCAACCTTGCATTCCCCTAAAGCACTGCTTACAAAGCCCCCCAAAAGCTGCCTGGTCAACAACAATTTAGATTTTATCCTCACTGAGCTGTTAGTCCCAGCAAGGATTTATAAGGGGAAAGATCTCTAGCTCTTCAGTTCAACGGCACTGCACTGGATCTATAACAATCATTTCTTCTTAATTTTCAGGTCTGGAAAAGCACCATTATATCATCCTTAGGAAGGGAGGCTCACTCTTGAATAGGTCCAGCTAGGAAGAGCTCAGGCTGAGCCCTGCAAATCAAGATGCCTCTGTGAGTTTGGACTGCGCCGTTAGCCAGCTGGGGCTTGGAGTCCCCCCTGTGCACACCACAATGTGTGATCCTGTCAGCTTGGCATGGTCCCTGTGAGCACCCCAGCTGGTGACAACTCTGCTGGTAAGTAACCCAAGACCCAAGAGCTCTGGATATGGTTTCAGAAGAAAGCAAGTGGGCCCCCTGTACCCTCCCACATTCTAAAGGTAACAGTTATTCTAAATGTATTATTTTTTTAAAGTATCGCCTTCTTGGACATTACTAAATTCACCTATATTTTGATCCGATTGCTTTTTGTCACTCAGGCTTGGAGTCCTCAATAACAGCACTGAATATTGTAGACTTGCACACTGCTTCTCTGTAGGACAATACTAGCTACCAAGGGGACCACTCATGTTTCTTTCAAGCCTGATACAAAGCCAGACTGTCAGCGAGAGATGAAAAGCTCTTGAACATGTCAACCAGCCCAAGAGGAAATTGTTCTTCTTCAACTAAAATTAAGCCTGAACCAGCTGTCAGTCAGATGATGTTAACAATACTGCATACGATACTGAAGCTACAAGAGCTTCTCTGTTTTCAGCGATGCAGATTCAAGTTGTTTAAACCCTGGCACCCACATAACCTTCAAAACGTTAAATATTTCCTAAATAGACCCCATCACTTTTCAATGACACAGTGCCTTATAGAAAATCACCTGGCACTTGCAGAATCCACTGAAGCCCGCTGGAACGGGCTACATCCTCACTGGCAACAGAGTGCGCTGTGACAGACTCATCTGTATTCTACACCAGCACAGCTTGGCTGGTCTTCATCAAGCAACACATTACTTTCTCCACAAAGCTACAGTTAGTGCTGGTCAGCCAAACCAAGGGCTTAGAGAACAACAGAAGAAAAAAAGTCAGAAGGCAACAGACATGGCTCCCACACCAAGGATGAGAAAAACAGTTTCGTTAAAGATGCATCCTGAACACCGCAAACAACCAGGGACGTTTAAACCGCCGAATTCAGATCTCTTACCCTGTCCGCCGCAACTAAAAGTTTCTTGAGGAATCGTAGCCATTCGAACACAAACTCTGCCTTCTGTTGCTTGCTGAGCTGGCTGCAGGCTTCTTCGTTCAGTAACAGGCCGTGGGCCAGCTCCATTCCTTCTCCCACTCCCTCTCCTGCCCCTCCGCGCCCCTCCAGGAGTTCCACCCCTGCAAAACACCACCAGCAGACTGCTGGTACACCAGCGCTGCCCAGTTAGATCAAGGAGTGAAAACAATATTAATGACAATTACACTTGCAAGACAGTTCAGCTGCTGCCTGAATGCATGTTATGCACAGGCACCACTACGCATTTGTTCAAAAAACACATAAAAGTTTAATGCAATGCACCCATTTTTTTTTTGCCAGCCTTAGGCTCAGTTAAATTCTTTCGGGGCAAAGTCATGCATGGCAGCGAGTCACGCTTTTCATTTTAAAACCAGAAACCCTCAATGTAAAACTGTAAGCTGAGAATAAGACTGCATGCAACGCCATGAATAATTTAGAAATCCTCTGCCTGTCAAGCACACTAGAGCATCTGCTAGATTAGTTACCCACAATTCCCCCAAGTGACAGTATGTTTTGCAGGGATCCACCCTGCAGACAGACAGGTCTGGGCCCCACTCCACCTCCTGCTCCGGAAGCCCAGATCGCAACACAGGCCAGGACGGCCACTGCCTCCTGAAGGCCAAATCTCACAGGTACCCTTCACACATGCTGACAATACAAACGCATCGCAGGGCTGTCAATAGTGGCCAGTCTAGAAGAGAAGATCCCGCGGGCTGGACTTGGCACTTCAAGCCAGGCTGGTACCGCTTCAAGTCAGAGTAAGCATGCGACAAGATATTTAATTATCCATTTCGGGTCTCGGTTCTAGATTTTCACCACGCCATTTATTATTCGAATAGAGAAATTATTCTTTCTAAACAGTGGATCTTGCATTAAAACAATCAAAGTGCAAGTAAAAAATATTCAGTCCATTCATACTCACCAAAATGTTTACGTTCATCTTTTACATAATCAAACCTTAATACTTGTAATAACCTTTTATTCTATATAGCACGATTCTATTCTATCACAATTTTACTCATATGCTAAATTTTAAGCCAGTGCTGTGACCATATTTTCAGGTTTAATTCTTTAAACAACAAAGCGTAAAAGTACATTGAAAGTTGATTTCTATCATAAATTCTATACAACTTCAGTTTCTTCTACAAAGTATGTCCTGTTGTCAAAATCACTCCACTTTCACTTCAAAGCATTCTTAGAAGTGATCAATCCCATTCAGCAAGGCTATGTAATTACAGTCTCTATTCGCTCTTTCCACTCAAAAGACTGAAAAAACAAGCCTAATCCTTGCATAACTCTGAAAACAGGGTTTTAAATTCAATGGTGTAAAACTGCAACAGGCACTCTAGTATTATAGGGTTGTTTTTTTTAAAGAAAATATTACTTTTGACATTCTCCTAAGATACTGCTTGATTGGCTTTGACCTCACATCTGTAGATTCACGGCTGTCTTATTCGCGTCTTCTCTTATTCAATGATGAGAATAGTAAAACGCACCACGGTGAGGAGATACTGCTGTGTGCAACCATATGCTACATAATTACACCCCACATGAACACAGCTCTCAGCTCACGGGGCTGGTTACTGGATCAGCAGCAGTAAGATGATGTTGGCATGGAGCTTCTGGATGTACTGTACTTCTGCTCTTCTTCAGTAAGACTTGAAAGGTCCATGATAGAAGACCACATCCACCAGGAGGCAGCAGAGACCAGGCAGCATTGCAGCTGGCAGTCCTGGTTTCAGTTCACAACACATCAGCTGACAAATCAATCCGTTAAACTGACCGGTAAGAATTCAGTAAAATATACACATTTTAAACGACTACTATTATGCCTTTACTTGAGCATCAAGGAGAGAGGCGTCAAGTTGATAAGGCTTTAAACTGCTGGAATTTGCTTAAATGACGTCATAACACCCATCAACAGCTCTTTTTCCTTCTGCATGTGCATTATGAGACAATTAATACACCAATGGCACTGTCTTTTAATATGGCTCTCTCCTAATGGGTGCTTTTTGTGATGAGGCTCATAGCATTAGGAACTGCAGCATGCAGCACAATCCACAGAGGAGAGATATACAGTGCACATTTCTTCGGTATCTTATTCCCCAGAAGCAATAGATCTCATGGTGCAAAGAGGCGCCGGTAAAAAATAAAAATTCAGATCAATGAAGACTGCATTGAATGTCAAAAACAACTTTGTGGAAATGTATACACTGATACACAAAAAATGCAACACAAGTCTAATGGATTTCCTCCAATATTTTAAACACATCAGTCCCAAAATGAATAAAAACAGATCAAATACATCAGAAGCTTTCAGGACGAAATGTGACACTGTCAAAATAAAAACACTATGAAGTCAGTATCAGGTAAGACCTCTCCAGGCATCAGCACAATCCTGGTTATGCCGACAGAGATCTGATCAGGTTCTGGAGGCAGCTGGAGAAGTCAGGCTGGCCACAGCTGTGGCTTGCTGATGCCAATGGCACGTTACTCCCACAGAGGGCTGACCATGGCAAATCTCCAACATTTCTTTCCCGACATCATGCCATTGTAAGCACAAGAACATATGGAGAGGGTGCATGAGGAAGTCATTCAACCCCAACAAGGCTCGCGGCCAACTGATCCAAGAATCTCACCCAGCTGTTTCTTAAAAGAAATGGTTGCATCGACTTTGACAAAATGGCTTGGCTGCTTTGTCCCAGTCTCCCACCATCCATTGTGTAGAGGAGTGTTCTCCGTTTAAATGCACCTTTCCTGTAGTTTCCACTAGTGCCCTCTGCTTCAGGTTTCATGGTTGATTCAGTCAATGAGGTTGAACCCGTCGATGCTGTTGCCAGTCCTAGCATTGCACGGTTGTCCACTGTCCTTCTGGAAAACTGACACTTCGGAAACAGCTTGCAAGAACAGAAAACTGTTGGAAGTTCTGTTCAAGGACTTTGACAAAATATCATAGAGCCCTTAGGCTGTTGTCAAAATGCAAATATGCTCTTGAATTAATCGAGACTCCTCTCTACATCACATTAAAATCATCTCACTTGTTGGCATGAACAATGTAAAACTCAGTGTAACACTAACAACAAAATCTCCGCAAACACCATCTTCCAGCAGGTTTGTGAAGGCGAATGAAACACTCCAGCACTGTCTGAGCCACCTCCTCATACGGGCGATTGCCCACAGAAGAGAAATTTCATCTCTCGGTTATCAACGTGTTCTCCCTTAAATGACCTCCAAGCACGCAGATCATTTTCATGCAGCCAACGAGCTCCCGTCTTCTGCTGATGCACAGGTTAGTCCTTCCTTCGATATCTCTCCCTGTAGCCGCTGCAGTCTGAGAGATGGGCGCCTGTGGTGATCTTCTGCCTTCCAGACTGTGGCCGGTCTCTCACAGGGCTGGGATGCTGGCTTCTCTGGACCGGTCTGCTAATCGTCTCATTCTGCTGGCAGCTTCTCTCTCAGACAGGCAGTCAACCATGCCAACAATAACCAGTCCTCACTGCTCAGGCAGGGCATGGCAGAATCTCTTGTAATTGTTATACGGAGAAAACGCATTTCTTTGCGAGTGACTACTTACACAGATTCTTCACTCACTTTGGTCATTTTAACTCAACACGTAGCACCTGGGCATTTTTTTTATGAACAACTTCAGCACAGCATTTCATAATCCTAAGACACAATGCTACTAAAACTACCAACAAGTATACTTGTTCATTATTTAAATTGCAAAGAAGACCACATATGTGCCCAATGAGCTACTGATGTGAATCTTAAATCTTGCATTTTGATTGTGTATCAGTATATTTGAAGACGGACTGCTGAAACAGTATACTTTTGTAAATTTATCATTACACTATTTGAAATTTCCTACGTAATCATTTTCTTATAGATCCTGTTTTATCCCAAGCAAATACTGAAAATCACAGTTTACAGACTAGAATCACTGAGCTTCCACTGATGTGAGACAACTTCAAAATCCTACAAAGATAAGCAGATTGTCTCAAAATAACAGAGGCTTCATGGTCTTGGATGAAGAATTACACAGACAGGAACATCTTCAAATCCAGGCTTCCAGCTTGTCTCAAGGACAAGACCCCATTTTCAACAGCAGCCCAGCCCCTCAGTGCTGAAACACTAGGTACAAGATTAGCCTGAAACTCTTCTCCTTCTGGGAAGAGATCAATTTCCCTTAGTTAAGAAGAATTTGCATCTACATTCCAGGATGCATCTTAAACTTTCTGTGCTAAGCACGAAGATTCAGGCTCTGCTCCTAAAGAGAGAAGCCGATTTTTCTTGAAGATGAAACAGAGACACTGGAATGAAAATCTTCACCTTCATTTATTCCCTGGAGGCCCACAGTACCTGTGGACTGTTGTGGGCAGTCACATATATTTGTTTAGCCAAGCTTATGACTGTCAAGTCTTAATACAATGCTGAAGAAACAGTACAGAACCTGTACAAAACTCCCAAGGCAGCTCGTCAAGCTGAGCTCTTTTCATGTTGCAGCTTCCGCAGAATCAGAGCTACAGTACGAGCTGGTGTGAAACAAACGTTGTGGCAGCTATCAGGAGGGTTCCTGGGAGAGAGCAGAGCTTTTGTGAAGTGATTCAACTGGAAGCGAGAGCAGTCACAAGCTGTAACTATCACTGCTTCTTTGCTCAAGGCTTTTGCATGGATCATGGAAACAAAGATGATATTTTATTCTCCTGCTCCAACAACCTGACAAGCCCCTGGTGCCTATCATTGCAAATCCACAAAGCTCAACACAGGGAAGGTGGCCACTATCAGTACTTCACCTGACCTGTGAACCAGATAGTGCTACACAGGTTACATCACACGGCTGAACTGCACAGCATTCCTACAGTAGTTACACCATTCATGACAGCAGCCTGCCAGGTTAAAGTGATGCAACAGCTCAGCAAAAGATAGTGCGCTCACAACTCGTCAATTTTAGATATTAATGTCAAACACCCTCACTTCACAATGCAGCAACGAGGGGGAATTGGGAATTCTCCAGTAATGCTCAGGTTGTGAAGCAATTTTTGGTATACACTAACATCTCTGAAGCCAGGACACGTACAGGGTAGCTGCTGAGGCAGAGATTAACATTTGCAGCTCCTCGTAAATTTCTCTCCAATCTGTGGGAATCATAACGAGCCCCTGACAGCACGACTCATCCTACACAGTGTGCCCCATTACCGAGGTGTGCATTCAGAATACAATATCCACCAAGCCAGACTGTAGGATTCCACACTGCAACCAAGCAGCTATGTTAAATCCCACGCATGCCTCTAAGCTTCTTTCACGTTTTTTTTATGCAGCACTAACAAAATCAGCAGAAGGGTCTGAAACGACCGGACTTGGTCAGAGAGGTGGACACTGCGACACGTCTTACAGACCGCGGACCCGTGATGACCCCGGTGCAGATCCGTAATGCAACACAGCTCAACAGTTAATGTTGTCACCTTTTAGTTGTTTTTAAACACATTGCAATTACATCACTCGCAGTTAAGTTTTGAAACTTGTTCAATTGTTAAAGAAACTGCAATCCGTGCGTCATGCATATACCGCATTCATACAAATGTTTTTTTCCCGTTAAAAATATGGTTTTACGACTCATCTCTATCACTGCAAATTAGACCGGACCTTTCGATAAACGTCTGTATTTCCCGACCTTTGCCACAATAAATATCGTCTAGAAAAATGGGGAACAAAATAACCGACTAGGTTTTAAAATCACTGCGATGAAGAACAACAATAAGAGAGAAAGTTAAATACTATTCACGTTTTTTTATTACTATAAAGGGCAGTGATCGGAATGCATCATGAAACTTTCGAAAGACCGAAACCCATTCGGCTAATTATTTTGATCTAGGGCTCTAACTTAATTTATACGTGCACTCTCCCCGACAGGTATCGCCACCCGAACATAACATTCACAAATCACATCATACAGATTCCTAGAAAAAAAAGATCCAGGATTTCCCCTGGCACACGTAGACGTCAAGGGGCATATTTAAGGCTCGCGTCCGCAGCGGAAGAAAATGCTTATTCACACATAGCAAGCTAAAAACTCCCACCACAGGGCGCAGCTGGGAGTCTGGGCTGCTTTTCCACCCCGGCCTGAGGCATACAGGCGGACAGCTTTTGCGAGAGATCCCGCAACTATCATGCCACCTAATTGCTCTCGGTGTCGGGTGAGAAACTAAACTCCCCCCTCCCCGTCCGGGTAACGCGAACCCCAACCTAGAGGGTGGGGGAGGAAAGTTCTTCAGCATTACCTAATGATTCGTAAAGTTGGTGAATTCCAGCGAGGTGATGTTGCAGACGCCCCGAGCTGAAGGGCTGTTTCGGACACCAGGCGCCTCGGCGTTACAGCTGCTGTCCGGACTCCGACTGAAACAAACAGAGCGAGGCAGCCGAGCGCAGAGCCACCGAGCACGCTCAATTAGTTCAAGGCACGCTAATCAACCGAAGAGCTACGGAGCGACTCGGCTCACGACGACATGGCACTTGAGACGGCCAATTGGACTCCACTCGTACGGGTAGACAGGCGTGCAGGTGGATATTAACCTGTACTGTTAACGCACCGTGTTACAAATAAGGTAAATGGGAGCACACCGAAATGCAGCGCTTACAACGAAAGAAGCGATCGTGATCCCTTTCAATTAAAGACATTCACTCGAGAATACTTAACGTTTAACAACCAAGCACACGTGTGCAATTTAGAATTTAAAATAAAAAGTGCATTAATATATTGAAATGACAAACATTACCCAAGCTTTTGTTTTTTTTATGAATAATATAATATATATTTACTGTTTGCGTATACCTTGTAAAGTTTAGATTTACCAGAACTGTCAATTAAAGGGTATGCTGAATTATTTTTTGACGCTATAAATATGAAGTAAACGGTAAAAATCAAACTTACCAGTTTTTTTTGTGCTTTCAAGTAAACCGAAAATCCTGGTATCCTGTCAAAGGAAAACAGCGCGGGGGTGTGCTCACTGTATAGCCTTTGAAAGATATTCACATTCTAAAAAATCCCTCTATTTCAAGATTACAGGTGGTAATTTATATATCCACAAACGAGAAAAAGAATCAAAACCAATCATCACTTCAATACTGTCCTGGCGAAATGTGTAGGGGAGTCTTAATCATGATGAACTGAGCACCCATCTCTAAAAGAATAATATGCTCCGCAAACCAGTAGCGCCGTTGGAGATGTGGAACCGGAAACAGAATATTTGATGGGATGCGCAAAAAGCGCACAGAGGCAACATGAGCTGTGAGATCACACGCACTATAATCTTCCATTCCCAGAGGCAGAAACCCAGCCGAATAAAGCCGCTGGGTTTGAAGCAGACGTAATTGCAATGAAGAGACATGCACACGATTTAGCACAGTGAACATGAGAAGAGTGTAACTTGGCCGCACGTGAGAAGACGCAAAGAAATGACATCTGTTGGGCTTCTTGAACAGTAACCCTGCGGGCTTTGACAAAGCAGCCCTGGCGTTAAAGGGTCTTCACAATATGGTGTATGCAAAAGACGAGTCCTGAAGATAAATAGGGTCTAGTCCAACAAGATTACCATAGGGTAAATAGGATTCAGATTTGCAATGTTAATGACATTGACCTGCATGCCTTACTGCATGTCTTCACCACTTCTCATCTACTGTACTTGATTAAGATTCTTTTACAGTCACAAATGTTTACTGATGCTCTGAGATATGAGGAAAGAAATTAGGAAACTTTCAAGTGAAAGACACATTCTATTCAACCCTGTTTAAGATAAGATAAGATCACTTTATGAGCCATATACAATTTCTTGTATGAGGAATTTGTCTTTTCGCATACCCCAACTTGCTTTCCATGAGACACACAGACAGGGAGAGAAGCTTGGGGTCAGAGCACAGGGTCAAACATTATACAGCACCCCTGGAGCAGTAGGGGTTAAGAGACTTGCTCAGGGGCCCAGCAGAGTAGGATTCCTCTGCTGGCTACAGGATTTGAACCAGCAATCTCCCAGCCACAGGCACAGATCCTTAGCCACAGAGCCACCACTCTGCCAGTGGACAGCAACAGTGTTTCAGGATTTATAGCTATCTTTAACTAACTAAACCAGTGATTACTCTGAGAACTAGACTAGAATGAAAAGTAACGGCACCACGTTTAGGATGAGAGATAGTGACCTTTGGTCTGCATCCCGCCATGTTCAGTAACAAGGAGATAAGTAAGGCTTTGAAATGACAGTTCAGCTGAGTTCATTCCCTTATTAACTAACTGAATTAAGCTTGTTCTAAACTGAGGTACACTTGTCTCATATCATCTCAAATTGAATAAAATTCAAAAGGCTACAGTAACGAATTGGCACTTTAAAATGTCCGATATTGTAAATTAAACCAGTCTTTTCAATAATGCGAATCATAATCTGTGCATGACTTGGAAGCTTATAGAAGTGATCAGTTCTTTACCAGAGTGCCAAATTAGCGACTTCCAGTTCCAATATTAATGTGTACAAACGTCACCTGTGCATTAACTAAAGCCAAACAACGAGGAGAGAGCAAGTGAGCACATTTCAATATCTCAGATCTCTTTTCCTTTGTTCTAATCAAGGAACTATTAGCTGAAAATAGCATTAAAAGGAGAACAGACCAAAGAAGAAAGACTTTATACAGTATGTAAGGCACAGTAATAAAGGAGCAATTTAAGTCCCTAGGTAATCACATTGGCTACTTCAAGTTTAGTCATGAAACACGGATACAGATAAGAGATGGAAATTAGTAGGTGATGCATTTTGGGGAGAAACTGAATTCTTTCGACACAAAGAACAGGACATGACAGGAAAAAAAAAACGACCCAATCATGTAGCTGAAGCACCTCAAATTCAAAGAAAATTTCACGGAACACAATGACAGAGATGAGCCGGATTGCTTTGTCATTTTAATTTCCTTGCACTCTTACTCTTGCATGGTGTTACTTGTAGCTTCAGCCGATCTCCTCTTAAATCTGGCTCAGGAAAATGTTCAACCTTATTTCACTCTGAGAGAGAACATTTCAACCAGGAAAAAAATCGAAATAAAAGAAATTCACAGCTGCAATTAATCAATGTCAATGGCATGGAGATGAAAAGGAACAGCGACCTATAAACAATTATGGTTTGTGCAGAGATTTCGTGAAAAAACACTTCTAGAAACACTACAGACCAATGTCACGTAGAAGGTTGGACACTGCAGCAGTACTGCATTTGCATCCCAGATATGATTTAATACACATATCAATTTTCTGCCCTTCAGGATCACAGCTATATCAACGGCAGATCACTGCAGAAAATCGATTCAGTGTTTTAATCAGATACAGATTTATGTTAAAACCATTATCGGAACACTACAGGGTACGATACATCTTGCACAGTTAAGGGCTTCTTTCCAGAGTGAAAGGTATTCTGAAGCAAATGACAATGTAAGATAAAACTTTGGCCTTTTTTTTACTAAAATTAACACACACTAAAGAAAGATCTAATCTGTAATTTCAGTGTAGTCATGTTTTTATTTTTCATCAATTGCCAACTAACATGCATGCAGTTATATCTTCCACTTGTCCCAGAAGTGCGAGGAAATGTGACTTTTGTTTGAGGGCTGATCCCCTCCTGTCGATGAAGTCTTTGGTATCCTCTAGGATGAAGAGCGCCATACCAAGGCAGGGAATTGTTTTCTGCCAGGCTCTTACAGAACCTGCTGCACCCACTCACTATACAACATAACTTTGTCATTTTACTATATGTTTCCTGCAACTTCATGTGATTAATGCAACAAGGGGTATATATACTGTAAGACACATACACTAGATTCCTCTTGATATTTCTTGGTGATGTTAATGAAAAGAGTTTAACTACGTTTTAAAAGGAGCTTCAATTGAATGACTCACTGTGTCTCGGAGTCTGGAGAAGTACAGTATGTTTCAGGCCTACACACTCCTAAGGGGTCAATACAAACCAGCAAGTGAACGTACAAATAATAAATACAGCAATTCATTTACCTTTTAACTTTGGGCAATTATATTAAATACAGGTTGTGAACACATGCAGAGTCATTACAAATTCATAGTGAATTCAACCTGACACACTGCCATTATTTACAATCAAAATCGAATCATACAAAAAATTCTCATCACCCATATGACCAAAAGATTTCCCCCCCCCCCCGCAGTAACTCATTAGCTGGAAATACAAATACCTCCTATACTATACAATCTCACATTTAAATACCGTACAGCCGTTGTGCGTTAATGCACAAACGTGTTAATCTCAAGCCACAGATCGGTTACACATTGTCAGAGGCATCATAAATCAACTTCATTTCACAAAACATGGGACTAGATCTGTACACCGGTTTGTTTCTCTTCTCCCCCCTCAGGCCTTCTCAAAACCGACATTTTTTTTTTTTAAACCAGCATCCCTAAAAAGGGAGCCCCGGAGTTTGCATCCTGCGACGGCAGAAATCTTGTTCCCGTCTCGGCCTTCGGACCCCAGTGAGAAAGTGCCACAGCCGAGCCGTGTGCTAGAAGTCCATCAGGTGGGTGAAGGGGCCGTTGGTGTCCAGCTTCAGCACCTGCCTGTTGCCGTAGGTCCCGTGCTGCACCGCGACCCCCGCCTCCACACAGGCGCCGGAGGAGGACAGCTGCTGCTCGCAGCGGGACACCAACAGCTCGTACAGCCTCTTGCCGTCCTCCTTGTCGATGTTGCCGTGGTACTGCATGCTTTTCCCCTTGGCTCTGCCGCCCAGCGTGGCCTGGGGGACGACCAGCACATGGCCGGGCAGGTCCAGCACCGACACGTATTTACCGGAGTCCAGCTCGCACAGCTTCACGTTTAACAGCGCGCCCACTGGGAAGACAGCGCAAGGGTGCCACCTGGTTAGGAAGGGGGAAAATGGCTCCAGGGCAGCATCGGTATTGTCACCAGCAAGCCGTGACAGATTCATAGATAACTGCGCATGATCAAGAAAACTGAATATTCAGGGTTGGAGGCTCTTTAACTGGGTCGCAGGGATTACCACTTGAGCACTTGCTCCGTGTTTGGTGAGCAACGTCAAACCATACATTGATTTGCCAAACCGTTTTTTTTTTAATGAACAAGTAATAGGTTTATTCCAATCTGAAAAGAGAAGAAAGGAAACACAAAGGAAACGTTCCCACAGCCGAAACGCTGTTTCCTTTCTTCTTTTTACAGCACGGAATAAACCTTTACTTGTTCCTTTGCAGCCTTCGCACGCTGACGCAGCTCCCTACTTTAACTTTTTGTTCTATCATATTTTATAGTTCTAAAAAAGAAAAAAAGAGCACAGATTACAGCATACCCATTTTGGGAATAATTCCTTCCGTGGCCCCCTTGAAAAAGCAGATGTAAATCACCATTCCCCTCTGAATCTACATTTGAAACGAAAAAACAACTTGACTGTTAGGAAACACAGCACATACAGTACTGCTTACTTGGACTGCTTACCAGTTCCCACGAAGTTCCTATTTAAACAGGGCTGTTTTTAGAAGGGAACACACCTTTATTTCTAAAACAAAACGTTAATACTAACTTCCCACCCTACATATTCTTGAAAGCTTACTTAGGGCTACAGTGATTTAAATAGGATGCGCATTACATGCACTAAAATACCATATACCTGAGTATGAGTAGAATGACAATAAACGTTTATAACAATCCCGTCAGCACCTCGAAAATCTGCACATATTTGAATATCTGATTCCGTAAGATCTATGGCAGGATATCAATATTCAGTCAGTTGAAATATTAAAAAAAATGCATTTATTAAATATGTATAATGTTAATAGCCGGCTGATATATTTAAAGGGCAGGGAATCGCTTGTACCAATACATCAAATTCAAACAAATGTGTTTCTTTAATATATATCGTATTTATTTATAAAAACAGTACCTCAACCCACTCCGCATCCGAATCGACTTCTGCAGGTTTGACCTGCAGTTTTGCGTGCAAGCATTGCTGCAAGACAACTCTGGCTGATACAGGCGCCGTCTTCTCCGCCATGTTTAGAAGGGAGTGTCACGGACCCAATTTAGGTGACACAACCCCATTTCTCGATGTTTCCGGCCGTGTTGTCAAATATCGAGCAATCGATGTGCTACAAGATCCGCAGACCGTAGAGCACAATGAGTCTGAGACTTTCATGGATACACTTCTATCACCCACTTCTTGTTTTGAATGATTTTTAATTCTAACGCAACTTGTTTCAGGAAAGCTGGTCATTGCACAGGGTAATGGAATTTAAATCCCATGCCCATAATGTAAGAGTTCTTTTATATATAAAACCACGAAAACCTTCGGTCACCAGTGTACTCATACACAACCAGAGTTAGAAAGTAAAATTAGTATGAGGTGTTCAAAACAGCAAGACGACACGCTATTAGTGTTGTATTTTTTTAAAAAAGAAACGTACTTTCTTGGAGCTCGGCAAATAATACCTTTCTTTGCAGCGGAAATAACGAAATGATCCGGATTCTACCGATGGGCAAATCGGATTTAGTGTGCGGTTGTGGTCCATAATCCAAGACTGTAATGCAGTTGACACATTACAAACAAACCCATTGTGTCTTGTGTAGCTTGGAATGTGTTTGTTCCGAAAACGTGCAATGAAGAACCATAACCTGGGAGAAAACAAGGAAAAATAAAACATAAGATTGAAGAAACGATCGTTAATTTTGTTTGAACATGCATTCCTCGTTTACAAACGTTTGAGTTTCTGAAGACGAGTTTAACGTCATCAGAAATCGCCAATGTATCTGCTGCGCTCTCTCGGTGCCTTTTGGTGCTTCATAGCTGCATTTAAAATGGCTTTAAGGTTTAGCAGCCGTTTGTTACATGTTCATAGACATTTTGTCAGTTGTAACACAGCCCATCTACTGTCGGTGCCGGGAGAAAAATCTGTCCTTCCAGTCTTTATAAATTATTGTGTTCGCTTTAAGGTGAGACAAATGCTGACCTGTTGTAAAGTCGCTTGAACTTGAAAGATCATGGCATTAGTTGTGAGTAATGATATGCATGAATTATTAAATAGAAAATCAAAAAGAAAGCCTTCTACATGTACTCTTTCATCTGCGTAAACAACATCGCTTCTTCATTTAACAGTGTAGGGAGATAGCAGCACTTGATACGTTTTTAAAGGTTGCTTCCAATGATGCTGTCTCGTATAATGTTATTAAAAAAAACAGTGCCCCTGATGTCACGTAGATCTACAGTTTTAAACTAATAACCTTGGCAGCCTGAGCAAGGTTAAAGTTAGATTGTTTTTAGAATTAAATAAAGCACGATGCTTTCATTATCTTATTGGAAAGCGTTGTAAAACGATGTTAAAAATAATATACATACAGGTATGTAAAGAAAATAAGAAGCATATACAGTAAGTCTTTTGATCAGGTGAAAATATATGCATCATTCAGAAGTAATGACTAACCTACAGTGTTCACTATGACTGTGAGTAGTGGTGTCTTTTCTAGTTCATTCCAAATCTTTTCCATTTTCCAAATCCTTTATTTCATGATTAATGATTTCTGTGATCTCATCAGCGGGACGAGTCAAGAGAGTGAAGAACTGAATCCAAGTCCTGCCTTCGATCTAAGACTGCCAGATCTGCTCCTGCAGAGTCTGATTTCCATGGCAGTGTTTCTCAGTTGATGGTATTGATGTACTGTGTTCATGAACAAGTCCCCAGATGCTCTTCCATGTACAGTAGCTATCTGAGCTGAGACTGGGACAGCGCTTCTATGACAAGTTAAGAACTGGGCCACTGCTCGTTCCAGGCCTCGGGATCTGAGGGGCCGACACTCCAGGAGAGGCAGAGACAGCACATGGCCAGAGGTCTGCCCCGTCAGAGGCCCATCCCAGGGGTGAAGCAGGTCATCGTTGTGGCCTCGGGAAAGGGAGGTGTGGGGAAGTCAACCACCGCAGGTATGCTGCCCAGTTACAGGGGCCTTACAACTGTCTGCAGCTCCTTTTCCCAAAGCGTACAGCACAGGGTATACACACCGCCGTGCACACAGCAAAGCTCAGTGAGAAAAACCGAACACGATCGACAACGTGAGTGTTACCAGTTGCAGCAGGGTTATTGGGACATGTTTTTCAGCTTCTTGTTCACTCTGGGCTTTATTTGTTTTGAAAAATCTGCAAGTGTATGCAAGGCTATTATCCACGTGGCTTATTTCCAGGAGCTATTCCTCCCCAGATGTTGTCATCGGCCCCATTCCCCCCCTGTCTGACGAACTGCGCTGAGTTGTGTCGTCTGGGCAGAGCAGGCTACAGCTTTCAAAAAGAGTTAGGGGGGCAAAAATTCTCAAATAAGACGTATCGGTCAAATCAAGATCAGAACCAGATCCCGATGCCACCTTGCTATGCAAATGCAAATAAACTGTAATAAACAACAGGAACGACCCCCCTGTCATCAGGGAACACGAGCACCATGTTATCTCTGGCACAGACAGGTGCCTCCCCTGCACTCCTAAAGAGACACAATCATGCTCCTAGGCAGGCATAATTACTCAGTTCTTTTTTAATTACTTTCATTATACTAATTGTCCTCATTTTATAATTCACAGACTACAAATTACCATCAATTTTTAACTTGTTTTGCAGTGAACCTGGCTCTTGGACTTGCCGCTAATGACCTGGTAATTATCCTCAGCCTTTTCTGAAATGTCTGCTTTTTTCCCCGTGTATGACATGTCCGGTGCAACTTGCACACTGTATGTGAAGCTTGCATTGCAAAGTGTCCTCACGCACAGCAAGAAGACCAGCCGTGTTTCTGTGATCTTTAGAACGGTTTAAGAAGCTTTCCTGTTTCCAGATCTAAACAGGATGCTTGTGTTCTTTTATTTTATTCGTTCCTTCTGAAGACTGTATTTTAATTTGTTCTTCCCTATGAGCCTCCGAGTTTCCTCTGAGTACACTAAGGTGAGACAAATGCTGAGACAAAAGCGTATCCTTCTATCTCCATGGCAAAAGACAATCCCCTGTGTCCTGTTGCACTGTCTGAGAATTTGTGGCATGCGCATACCTGCCAGGAGGTTTTTCTGGTCATTTGAAGATAGTGCACCTTCTCTCCTTTGAAACAGGAAAAGTCAGTGGGGCTCTTGGATGCAGACGTTTATGGTCCTTCAATCCCCAAACTCATGAACCTGAGAGGGAACCCTGAGCTCACAGACAGTAAGTCTCTTTGTTCTCTCACAGACGTTAAGAAGTGGTTTTGTGAACATAAGCGTAGCTTTTTGTGGTAGCCAGTGTCAGGTTTTTACAGCTGGGGAGGTGCAGTTCAGATGTGGCTGGTACATTATCACTTATGTACACCAGTTATACTGATTCATATGCTCCATATTTTATAACCATTTTAGTAGACACACCCACTCAGATCTCTTTTTCACACAAAAGTTTTCATTTTCAGAAAACCTGATGAGACCACTGGTGAATTTTGGCATTCCTTGGTAAGTTAAAGATGTATTAGAATTAGCCGTGTTCAGCAGGTATTAATTGATGAACGTAATGGCTCCAGTGATTGTTTTCCCTGCCCCTTCTGTGCCAGCATGTCCATGGGCTTTCTGGTGGAGGACACGGCCCCAGTGGTGTGGAGAGGCCTCATGGTGATGTCAGCCATAGAGAAGCTGTTAAGACAGGTGGGGAGACACATTATTTTCCAGTGTGTGGGGGGTAAACGTAGGAAGTTGCCTGTTTTTGCCCTACTCCTGCAAGATAGGAATGATAATAATAATTGCTTACACTTATATAGCACTTTTCTGGACACTCCACTCAAATCGCTTTACAGGTAATGGGGATTCCCTCCACCACCACCAGTGTGCAGCCCCACCTGGATGATGCGACGGCAGCCACCACACATCAGCTATCAGTGGGGAGGAGAGCAGAGTAATGTAGCCAATTCATAGAGGGGGATTATTAGGAGGCCTTGATTGGTAAGGGCCAACTGGAAATTACACCCTTACTATTTTCGAGAAACACCCTGGGATTTTTAATGACCACAGAGAGTCAGGACCTCGGTTTTATGTCCCATCCGAAGGACGGCGCCTGTTTACAGTATAGTGTCCCCATCACTATACTGGGGCATTAGGACCCACATGGACCGCAGGGTGAGCGCCCCCTGCTGGCCCCACTAACACCTCTTCCAGCAGCAACCTTTGTTTTTCCCAGGAGGTCTCCCATCCAGGTACTGACCAGGCTCATACCTGCTGAGCTTCAGTGGGCTGCCAGTTGTGAGTTGCAGGGTGATATGGCTGCTAACAATGATGATCATTGTTTGCTGGAAACATGTGACATGTTATGCTTCTTTATTTCACAGGTAGACTGGGGTACCCTGGACTACCTGGTTGTGGACATGCCCCCTGGCACAGGAGATGTGCAGCTGTCTGTCACCCAGAATATTCCCATAGCAGGTAGGACATATAAACCCCAGCAGGAAATGTCTCTTCACTGTGTGAATGGTGAGAAATACGGGTATAGAAATGAAGAAAAAGTAATTCAGTAAAGTATGTCAAGTATTTTGTATAAGAAGATTATCTAAAGAGGAAAGGGAGAGATGTATTTTCAGGGTGTTGCACAGATAACTTGGTTTATATTAAGAAAGGTTTACTTTGAGAGTGAATGGATTAGCCTGCTCATGCTCTTAAGGTTTTAAAACTCCAGCTCACGAGTAGCTGTCTTAGCTTAATGTTTGGAGGGGCGTTTCATTTCCAGAGGGGGTTATTAAAAATGTAATGCATCATGTACTTGATGTTGTGGGGAATGCAGATCAGTAAATGCCACTTGGGATTCAACAGGCAAGAGGAAGAGGTTTTTTACACTTTCTGTTTCAGATTAAACAAGCTGACAGTTCACTTTTACAACCAAAATATTTTGATTTTTTTTCTTTTAAAGCTTTTTAAACTCCTTTAAAAGCAGTTGTTGTGCAGTATAACGCCCACTGACCCTGATTAGCAGCTAAGTTTGAATTCATGAGTTTATTTTCTTAATTTCAGGCGTGAAACAAATGAAATAATAAATGAAATAAAATACTTTCTGTATTTCAAGGTAATTATCATACAGATGAATGATTGTAAGTCTGAGCGCACAGAACCATTTTGTGATAGTTCATTAACAATATTCTGGTCAAAAGTGCCCGCAGTGCTGCCCACAGACAGGTACATTACCAAACCATCTAGTGCTGCCCTCTACTGGAATCCCTATTGAACTGCATCTGTGACAGGCGATGCACTTAACATCTCCCCAGTAGGTACAAGTAAGCTGAAAAATAACAGGCAAAAAAAAAAAACAAAAATAACAGGCAAAATATTTACTTTTAATATAGTTTTAATATAGTTTTCCCGAATACACAATGTTGTTGTGTATTTAAATACAGCACGCAAAATGGTAACTAGGTGTAGCACTGTTCATGTCATAATAGACCTCCTAGCAAACAAGGAGGAAAACCCCATCACAATAAACTTTAACATCTCAAGAGCGGTGGACAGAAAAATGGACTGTGACCTCTTCCTCTGTTTTTTGTTCAAGCACTCTCTTGCTGGTATGAAAGAATGCAATGCTAAGCGTGCTTACATGTAATAAAGTACTGCAAGTGGCTTGCTTTTTGAAGGTCTTTAAATTGTAGCCTACATAGTAACTCAATATGAATTGTGTAATGTTCTTGTCATGATTTTACCCATTAAATTGCTGTCAGAAACAATATTCTTGTAATATAAAATTTTAAATTTGCAAGACTCATTTTTACTGTTCACAGCAAAACAAATAAAGCAAAGACCAATGAAATATTTATTTTAAATTTTAAAATGGGTAGCAGTCACACAATAAGCAAAATAAGAAAGGATTTTTCGTTTTGTGATTCACGCAGGTCCTGCAGTAAGCGTGAAATGTGATGCCCGGTTCTGTAGACTCTGGGAACTTTCTGATGTAGGTAATTTGTCCTCCACTAGAGGGACTCAGTGCACAGCTTCTTCAGTGTTCCTGGTAAACTGCAACAGTTCACTGGAGAGAAAAAAAAGACATTCTGTATGCAAATCTCTTGGCTGCAAACCAGCAGACAGCAAAATGACAGTCCCCTTGTGTGTGTATATAAATATGTGCTGTACTCTACTTGGCTTAGCAAAGTGAGTGTTGTCAGTATACAAGGCATCAAAAGGTAAATTACAAAAGGCACATTTATGATAAAAGTTTAGAACCTGCAATTCACATTTCCCCTCTGAGAAGCAAGAAATCACTGCTATGGAAACAAAGGGATCTATATCCTGCCGGATTATCAAGGGCTTGCTAGCAACATATTCTCATGAATACTGCCTTTAACAACATGAAATGGAGATCTGTGGAATTCGGTGCAGGAGATATTCAGTGAGTGTTGTTTCTGATGGCAATAAAACAGTGGTGTTTTTTCGTTTCTCCAACAATGGAGATGAGTCATTTCGGATGGAAATTCAATGGTTTGAATTCCTTGCGGGTAACTGTGGGAAAGCTGAGTGCATTTCTGCTCTGTCACTCCAAATGATTGTGTGTGGACTAAATTCTGGTTCTTTCTGAAAACTTGGCATCAGCCTGAGCTGCGCCGCTGCTTACTGTAAGAACAAAAGAGAATGAGTCCTTAAAAACCCCTCTTTTCTCTCCTCTTCCACCCTAGGGGCGATTTACAATGCCTGGCCTCCAGGGCTTCTCCTCCTGCAAATCTTTCTCAATAAATCTTGAAATAATTGACGTTATATGTACTTTCTCGTCCTGGCAGACTTTCCCTGTGGCTGGCATTGGTACCGTAGTAAAAGAAACCCCAACAAAGAAAGAAATGTATACTTTCTGCTCCCCCCCAGCAGCCAAGCCCACCCTCCCTCCCCCCTCGCTCTCCGCTCTGGAGCCTGTTCGTCGACCTGGTGGCTGAAAGGTTTTATCCGCCAGCATAAGGAACCCTGTCACCTCCAGTGTTTCACATTTTTATTCTGGCATGTTCAGTGTACAGGTGGGCATACCGTATTGGTGCTCCCTTTGAACACTGTGCCTTGGTCTTTAAAGAGTACTATACTGCCCCCTGGGGGCAGTGCAGAGCAATGGTTAGGGCATGGCGATGGGTGTGCGAGACTCTGCTCTGTCATACCCTCGTGGAAGGAAGTTCTCCAGTTATTGCTCCAACCCACCAAGCTGAACAAATGGGCATGAGTGTTGTTGGGGGGTGAAAGTCCACAGGGGGGCAGTGTACACCCAGTATGCTTAACATTAAGCCAAGCTCAGCTCCGTCCAGATGAGCACAGAGGCTCAAGCATGGACTTTTGTTTTCCATTGCGCACAGGTGATGTAAGTATGTGACTGTGTCTGCCTCGGTGTACACCCACCACATTGGAATTCCACACGCATTGGCTTAAACGACACTGTGTCCCGCTTCTGGTTTTTTGACCAGTCTGCCCTACCAGAAATGAGTCCAGTGCTAAGAGCCCATCTGACACAAGTGCAGTGGTGGGAACAGAGGGAATGTTGCATGTGGCGAATGTCAAGAGCACATTCGGCTGACAGCTGTCGCTTTTACAACGGCAGAATCTTGCCCAAAGCTAAATAGAGAGCAGGCTGTTTTTTTCCTGCATCCACACACTATTTGTAATGTGTTTGGCAGTGGCCGGGAGCTGGTCTCTTCATTCTGTTCCAGTATATCCTCGGCCAGCTGCGAGCTGTAATACTGGAGGGTCCCGTGTGCCAAACGCTGTACAGTATATCAATCCATTTATCATTCCCAGCTTTCATGCCGAATCTCCCTGGCTTCGTGCTGCTGGCAATCCCAGACTGGAGCCTGACCTATCAGACCAACGGCCTCACCCTGCTGAACTCCTGCACCTGCTGTCTGCAGCAGGCAAGCAGACTCTCACACTGCAGCCCTCTCTGCAGGCTGAGCTCCTGTTTGGAACAGTGACTTTCCAAAAGCCTTCCAGCACCAAGCTGCTTCTCATTGTCTGCGTAATGAGTGGCAGAATGTTTGGGATATGCATAGTTTAAGCCATTTAAGATTGCAAAGAGTGAAGTAAATCCCATTTATATTGCAAGTCTTTGAAAAGGGCAAGGCTGGAAGCATGGTATCGTTCTTGTGCCTGGTTTGCTTACTAGAAAAAGAGGCGATGTAGATAAGGAAAGTGAATGTGTTTCTGATTCATCTGATGAGCAGAGAGCTGTTTTAGCATCTTTACATATTATCACGTGCTGAATTAGCTGGGACCCCCTTTTCCTCAGGTTGTTAGTATTTGTTTTTCAGGATGCTGAAAAAGAAACACTGAAAGACTGAAACTATTCTTTTAACCCTAGATGTGACTAAAATGATGTCATAGAAGTGGAATTCTGTTTTGTTACCAGTATAGCCACACCCGATGTATGAAATACTGTATGACAGCTAGATAATGCTGATGCTGTGTGGTCTGTAACGTTAGTTTGAAGTGTTTAGATTTCTTTACCCTTTTTTCTAAGCAGAGTAGGAATTTCCCTTTCTGAAAAGCTGGGGCTGCTGTTCAGGTCGGCCAGTTCACATTTTCCATCCAATGATCCATTTTGTTTTTGTTCATGCTCTGTTTTGCGAAGCTGCGCTCATCTGGTTTTTAATTACAAATTGTCATGATCAGATCAAAACGGTGTTCAGAACAGTGGGGGACACGTTGAGCAGATTTACAGTGACACGTCTGCACTTTTCAGTTGTAAAGGTACCAGGGAGATGAGCAGTGGAACATAATTGAATCTGATGTCAACAGCTAGAAGAAGCAAAAATAGTTCTCTCTGTTTTTTGTGCTCGTTGAAGGTTCTGAGAGCATTGTTGGAGTCGGCCATCTGTGCCTGGCATTACATAAAATAACTATTGAAAATTAAAAAGATGGCTATCACTATGTTGTTTGGATCTAGCTCTTAGCTTACTCAGAGGGGGATTAAGTTACCTGAATTTCAGAAAACCCCTCTGGGCTGTTTTACAACCAGATTTCTGATGTGATGTACTTCATGTCAAGAGACCTAATCACTCCCCAGAGGTATTTCACTTAGACTTAGTAAATTCAAAACATTTCAATCAATGCCAAGGGGAAGAAGCTTCATGATGATAATTGGTTCTGTTTTATAATGAGGCAAATTAGATTAAACCTTTAAATCTGACCAAAAAGCTGAGATTGAATTCAGAATGTATTTGTTTATAGCTCCGCGCTTAGTTGTCTTTACTAAATGTACCTGACTAACACTTATCATTAATAATAATAATAATAATAATAATTGCTTACACTTATATAGCGCTTTTTTGGACACTCCACTCAAAGCGCTTTACGGGTCATGGGGATCCCCTCCACCACCACCAGTGTGCAGCCCCACCTGGATGATGCGACGGCAGCCATAGTGTGCCAGAACGCTCACCACCGCTATTAGTGGGGAGGAGAGCAGAGTAATGAAGCCAATTCATAGAGGGGGATTATTAGGAGGCCATGACTGGTAAGGGCCAATGGGAAATTTGGCCAGGACACTGGGGTTACACCCCTACTCTTTTCAAGAAACGCCCTGGGATTTTGAATGACCACAGAGAGTCAGGACCTTGGTTTTACGTCTCATCCGAAGGACGGCGCCTTCTTACAGTATAGTGTCCCTGTCACTATACTGGGGCATTAGGACCCACATGGACCGCAGGGTGAGCGCCCCCTGCTGGTCCCACTAACACCTCTTCCAGCAGCAACCTTTGTTTTTCCCAGGAGGTCTCCCATCCAGGTACTGACCAGGCTCATACCTGCTGAGCGTCAGTGGGTGCCAGTTGTGAGTTGCAGGGTGATATGGGTGATTAAGTGCATTAACTGTTTTTAACGAAAATATTGGAGACAGAAAGATGCCTTCTGAATTTGTGTTGTCTTTAGCAGATTTTCTTGGACATATTTAGTGTGCAAACTGAAAATTCCTTCAGGCTTTTAACTTTATTTTGATAAATGACTTCCTTCAAATGTTCCATCTGATGGATTCATAAGGAGGCGGTGTTCACAGTGCCAAATTTTCTGAACCTCTAAACTATGGGCTGGCTGCCCGGTTTTAAAATGGAGCACAGGAAAGCATGTTGCTCCTTAAAATGCAGAAGCAGTGATTGACGTGCTACTTTAAATTCAAGAATTTTGCATGCCATCATTTTTTTATAGCATGTTTCAGTAAATAATGTATGTTTTGCAGACAGACACATCATCCTTCTATGTTCAGAAAGCCAGTTGTCCTGGTGAGGATCGTGGCAGCCCAGAACGTATCCTAGAAAGTCAGGGCACAAGGCAGCATATAACTGCTTTTGTGCTGGATGGGATGCCGGTCCACTGTAGCACCACAGAGAAAGGGAATAATCGGTACCACTGTACAAAGAGACATGTCGAGAACTGTGTTTAAATGAGTTTAACTTGATCCTGAGGTTTTAACTGTACAGGGAATGTCGGTTTCTACATCTAAATATTGTGGCAAGTTGCCCAGTGTATCCAAACAGGAGGCACTGTGACAGTGGAGCTGCCACAGAGATGCCCTCAGTCACTTTGTAGATTGACCATCGGGGAGTGGTAATTAAATGAGTGTTAATTGTGTGGAATGTGGAATGGGCACACTGCCTGCCTCTGTGCAAGGGTGTGTCACAGTAGAAACCTAGTGATTAAGTAATACTCAGGACATGTTGGTGTCCTACACTTAAAAATACTGACTGATGAACCTTTTCTTTTGTCTTATCTGTTCTTTCTTTGACCCAATATTAATGATATGATTACATTAATATTGTAGTTCTGTAACAAAGCTAATTCTTGCTGTGTGCTCTTGCTACCATGAGATCAGAATCTCGTTTGCTGTGGGAGAATAATGAAGAGATTCTATATTTTGGACAGTTTACAACGTGGAACTTGTGTATCCTGCGCAATTTCATGTTTCATGTCCGTTAGTGAAATCAAAAGAGCTAGATGTAAATCTCATGTCAGCTGGAAGTGAGAAGTTTGTCTTCCAAGAAGAGAATAATGTAGGCCAACTTTTTTTTGTTTTTGCGCTAGGCACGCAAAGCCAAATGTTGTTACCTCTTTCAGGGGCGGTGGTGGTGTCGACTCCACAGGACCTGGCCCTGCTGGACGCGCGCAGAGGGGCGGAGATGTTCAGGAAGGTGAACGTGCCGGTAAGGCCTGCCAGCTCCCGACCAGGTGCAATCCGCCGGGCCCGTGAAAAGAAATATCACAGGTCTGCGAGGAGCGTACATCCCTGGGGGCGGAGACGCAGTAGTGCCTGATTTGTGGATCCCCGATTAGTTTCTTCTTGTTATCTTGTTGATCTTGAGGGATGAGCTGTCCGATTTAATGTTGTGGCATTTATCCTTTTTTTTTCCAGTTCAGTACAATCTCGAAAGAATCTGTTTTCTTGGCTGTGCTCAAAAAATAAGCAAATTGCAAATCATAGATCCAGTTGTGTGCATCCTTGTCTCCGTACATTGGAAGATGGGTCCCAGATGTTCAGCTGGCCTACTAACCTTCTCTTTAAGTGCGGAACAAACATTTCCCAGACTGTTCGCTCTCTCTTGCTTCCGATAGCAATTAAGTATTATCTCTGTCACATCTGCAACATCAGCTCTCTGAAGCGTATATGTAATTATTCTTTATTGAATTCGTCCCATGGTTTTGCCACACTCTCATGTAGACAGCCTATAATGGCGATTACCCAAAGCAGCATAAGAAGCACTGTGCTGCTGCAACAATGGCTAATCAGTTTTGTATCTGCTAGTGAAGGCAGGGAAGTAATTAAAATTTCAGTCCTTGTTTTAGTGTGATGCCGCTCTTGGTCAGTTCTGAGACTTCTTCTTACACCTGTTTTCATGGTGCAGGAACCTGGCATCTTCCAAGTGATCCCTGCAGCAAGACCTGTCCCGTACCCTCATCAGCCTCTGTCATGATTGCTTGTTTGCAAAATCAACTTTCATGTAGAGTGCTTCTTGTAAACTTCAGACAATATAGCCAAGAACCTTGAAGGCCTTTTATTTTTAGAATCGGAGACTTGTTCATGTGAAAACAGCATGTTTTACAATGCATTACATGAGAAGTGCATTAAGCTGCATTTGAGACCTGAGACACTTTCAAACATGTTCTGTCCAGAAGATGCGCAGGTTGTGATGTGGAAGTGTTTTTTCTCAGAGCACAGTGATGGAGGTAAGGTTATCTGGGTGGAGTTATTTTGGCTCAGCGCATGATTAGAGATTTATACTGGAAAAAGGTTGTTCACAAAAAAGCACCATTTAGTATGCTCAGTTATGCTCATAGAACTAATGCTAATTTTGTTATAGTTGATCAAAGTGAGGGATTATTATTTTGTTTATGGCAAATTCTATCCTGTTTTTATACTGCTTTAATGTAACTGAATATTTATTTAAATCTTTTACTTATTGTACTAGGTAATTTATTGAATTTTTTTACTGTTCAATGCACTGAAGAGGGTGGAGGGTCAGATGAAGAATATATAAAGCTACACAGGTGTCTCTAGTCGGTGATTAAATGCAGCCCACATTTCCCTCTGCCGGGTTTGGAAAAAGCCTGGGAAACTAGTACAGGATCTCCGATACCGTTGTGCTAGTTCTGCTGTTGACAGGCAGTGATCAAAGAAGTCCTCTAGCTAACAAGGTAAAGATACATAGGATACATACATAAATAGCCAGGTTAAAAGACAATTGTATTTATCCAAGTCTTAATCTGGAAGGATTGAATTCAGGATATGCGGAGTGCTGTGGCTGATTTGGAATAATATTCACCTAGAAGTTTCTGTTTTTCACCCGAACGTGACACTGCCTTGTCTGCCTTGGACATCTGCTGAGTTGGACCCATTTCAGGATTTGTGCGTGTGCCATGTATCTGAAAAGAGAAAGCACGCACATAGATTCCCAGATACGGATTTTTCCTGAGAAGGCTTTCTTCTGCAGTTCTGTGTGGGAAATAGTCACAGGGCTCATGATCTATGTCGATGAGCAGAGTTAATGAATGTGAGCATGTTGCAGAATGGTGAATACATTTTTTTGAAATTTTGGACAGCTACCTCGGAACCAACAAAGACCTAACCATTTCCGAGAAACTCAAAATTAAATTGTGTCGCCGTTTTCTTTTTGCAAAACATATCTATAGTAGGTCAAGTGCCAAGAGCCATGCTCTGCTACCATAGATATTTATTCACAAAAATATGTCTGTCTTTTTCACATCAGATTAGGTTCGTGATGATTTTAGTGCTAGAAATGGGAGAACAAGAGCTGCCGTTAACCCCATAACCTGCTCACGGGCAGCTTTTAGTGGGCATAAATAGTTGTCAAGAATGTTTCCCAGTTCAAATCAGCAGCTGAAATTCCTGCTTTCAAACCTGCTGTATAATACAAGTGCTCTCGGCTTTCTGATATCTCCTCTTAAAAGTTACAGTGTCAATGGTAAAAATTATTTCATAGCTTGCCGTGGTTTGTGATCCCTCATGTCCTTTGTTAATTGCCTCGTCTTATCTACTTACAAAGTCAATATACTCAAGTACATAATAGGACTTCACTCGATAAAGGTATGACTTGGTAAGGTGACACCGCTTTACTGATCACTACAGTTTTTATTTTCTTTGGACTTTGCCATTTTAAGAGCTGTATGCCTGTAGAAACAGCTGGGTGATGCAGTAGCAACAATGTTTTTTTTTGAGCTGCAGCAGGCAAAGGAACAGCTGTGGCAGATATTTCAGCACAAGTAAAAAATCCTGTACAAACAAAAATGAATGCTCGGGCTCTGGTACAAGATTGCAGGGCACACGGATGAAAACAGCCACACGGGTGAAATGGTCAGGTGGAGGTGCTGAGATAATAAGGGCACACAGTAGTAAGTTAATCCAAACTCCTCCTCCAGAATGTTTTTCTTGTTTTTTTTTTCAGTTTCAGCCAGTCCAGAGCTTAGAATACGAAGCTAAAGCTGTTTGCAAAACAAATGGGGGAAAAAAATGAAAAATTTACAAATATTTCAACTTCCATCCCAGATGACATAAAATATGTTAGCACATTTAGTACATTAACCACCCCCATTCCCATCTGTAAGTAGTTGCTCCGGAAACCGGAATGGCACTCTTGTTGGAGAGCCATGTATGAGTGATGAGCCATGTATGAGTGATCAGTGGAGCTCCAGCACATACATTTTCTTACAAGCCATTTGTCTATAGCACCCTGGAGCAGCACTAAATCAGAACTGCTGACAGACTTCCTGCGCAGTTTTATCTATGCATTCCTGCTCACCTAGAGCGCCAGTGAGTGAGAGCCCCATCAGAGAGGTGAGTGTTCAGACATGGAAGCATGTCCCAGTTGAAAGCACGCCTCATTTATTGGCTGGTCTGGGGTGTCTGTGTGACGGATGGCATGGGGCGTGCTCACATTTCGCCTTTGTCTGCCTGTTTTCTCAGCTCATTCATCAGCGGGGCCTGACTGCTGCCCAGCGTCCAGTACTGACTGTAATAATGCCTTCTGTATTACTAATATTTGGTTTGTTACATGGGTACATTTTTCATTCCGTCCCTTGTTTTGACCAAGGCTGGTTTAGCTGGTGGTGCGGTAGTTGAGCTTTAAATTCTGGCTCATAAAAGCCTCTGCTCTTTCCTATCAGTGCAGGTGTGTGCAAGAGTTGGCTATTCTTTAAAAGCTGAAAGTCACAGAATCTAAGAAACTTGGTTTAGATTTCCTTCAATCTCACCCTTTATGGTTCATTGCTGATTAAAAACTCATCCAGCTTTTGTTTGTCAATGTGCATGCAGTCCTAAAGGTAACTTTTTCATGCCAATAAAATGACATAAGAGGGCTGAGGCACTTTAACCAGGTAAAGGCAAAACTGCATGAGTACTTCTGACTGAAGTACAAATTCTGATCAATTCCGTTCCGACTTTGTCAATCAAAACCTCTTTTCCCCAACTCACTGGGGCTTCAAGAGGAGACAGGGAAGTGAGGTATTTCTTTGAGATTTCCTCCCTCCCTCTGCTGTGACAGAGCTGGTGCACCGGATGCAGGCATTGACTGGGTTTGTTTCATTTAACCTGAACCTGCACTGCACAGCTCACGTGAGAGTTTTCTGCTGGGGCTCTGCACCACTTGCAGAAACGTCAGATATCATGTGTGATATAGGATACAGGGTCTTCAGACCTTGGGAAGCACCGTGACTCCAGACCTGCTGCGATCAAACATATGGTTCTGCGTGGTTTATGGCTTATTTCGTGTTTTGAAACTTAGCGCAATTTGTTTTCAGGGCCTATTACTGCATTTTATTACGGCAGTTCCTCTTGTATATATCTCATTACACAGGAGGCATCACTGTGTAATCTTCTCACACTGAGCTCAGTTCGTCTCGGGGAGGGTTTTGTTGAAAGAATTGAAAGAGTGGATCGGGAAGTGGTGCAGTAGTCAAGACCCTGCCCTTTATTAAGCTGTTCCTAATAAGCAATCGCCAAATTACATAATTAAATTTCAACTGTTGCTCATTGGAAGCCACAGTTAAAATTGCCTTTATTTGCTTTGCACTTGGCCTTTACATTGAGGTTGCTAAAAGCTAAAGATTCCTTTGTTTCTGCATGTCAGGGGGCTGAGGGGGTAAATAAGTCTGCCGGAGGGTTTTTTCTGCTAGTGTCGCACTGTAATTCTGCTCGGCAGGACAGTTCCTCCACCAGCGAGGGTTTTCATATCTGCGAATCAGTGGGCACTCTCCACATGCTGCTGCTGATACAGGCCTAATAACAGCCTGGCTGCAGAAGCTGGACATCAGCAAACCAGCCTGTACCCCCGGATTTATCCAACATGTCTGCCAGTCTGCTGCAGAGAAATAAGCATTTCAAGCAAGTGAAGCATTTAAGCAGGTGGTGTTTAATTTAGAGAGAGTACACCAAAGGGACAGATAACTGGTCGTGGCACGTTTTGGAAGCAAAACAAGTATTGTGCTTGTGCCTTCCATGCTGACGCAAGAGTGATGGTGGTGCATCCGGTTGGTTCAAGATTGGCAATGCCAGATTGGGAATTAGAAATAAGGAGTACTTCCAGATTTGGATAGTAACGTAAGCTTGTGCTGCTGCAGGATCTTACTGGATTGTGCCTCGTTAATTAGTAAGGTATTCTCCTTTTGTTTGTGCGATTCTTGTTGCTGTGTTCTTACATCACGCGTGTAAAGGAATAGTGGTTTTTCCTGTTTCCCTCTAGTTTCCATGGTGACACCACCCTAAAATTGACCTGAATTAAAGTCATTGACAAGCTGTCTTGGCCACTGGACTGTATTATCTACCTGTAGTCATAGCAACTGATAATCTGACCTCTGTCCTGCTGTGAATTAAGTGAGAATGTCTATGAAACAGCGTGTGGAGAATGGCTTTTAAAACATCTTCTTCAAGAGGTCTACTCCAGGCCACCGTGTGAAGAGGTAATAAGGCTTCTGTTTTATTCAAATTTAGTTTCCAAACGATCCGTTCCAATCTTTCAGTTTTTCAATTTATTTCTTGATATTTTAAATTGTAATTTGAACATTACATTTTTGTCGTGAAGACATACGCACATTTTGTTTTAAATTGAAGTCAGTGTTTGCTCAGTTTTTGTTGTTGTACCTGAAGTAACCAATACATTAACAATTTATGGTTGGCCAGTCTGCACAGAAAGAAAGCAGCAAATTGCTGGCACCGTTCCTTATATTATAGAAATAAATTATTTTTATGTTTTTTCAATCTCTTGGTTTCTATCCAGAACTATACCTTGAGACAATATTTATTAAACGAGCTGTGTGTAATTCCATCTATCTTGTGTCCTGTTCATGTTGGGTGTGACTTAAAATATCAATTTAATTAAAAAATGGTAGCAGTGTAGCAGTGAGTTGTGTCTTTTAGCTTAAACCTATATTTAAGGGGAAGTCCAATCCTACAGTTGTAAACAGAGTCTGGGTTTAGATAGGATTAGAAGTGCCATTCAAGTTTGACTTCAGTCATGGTAGTGGTTAAATTCCCTGTGACTTAATTAAAACAATGTGAGGTGTGGTTTGAGATTTTTCTCAAACCCAATAGTAACACCAACCTGGAGAAACAGTTGAAAAATGTCAGAAAGTAAGTTCAAACACACTGCCTCTGCTATCTACGAGCACTGACCTTAACTAGATCCGAACATATCCATAGACTGGCCCTCTTTGTAACCAGTAACCAAAATGTGAGACATGCATGTTGGAAAGGTTTTGTGTTCGACCTCTACACCAATCATCCAAAAAATAGGACCTGAGTCCAAAACATTACAAAGGATTCGTGAATAAGTGGTTAAAACATAGTTGTGAGCATTGCAGAAACTATAGTTGTGAACTACCTAGTTGTAATCACTGGTCCAAACTTAATTTGATCCTTAACATCTTATGAGCTGCAAAATGAAATACATGAAAATCTGTGCTATTATGTAAATAGAAGACAATCCTAAGAACTTAACAATGATTCATTAAACAAAGCAGTGATTGTTGGGTTTTCACTCATAACACACAGTAATTTCTCACTCTAACACTGACCTCAACTGGTCATTACCCTAAACATTGATCTAATCAACATCTAGTACACACTACTCATCAATGGGTGATATTGATATTTAAAATATCACTCAATATTTTTAGAGCCTAAAAAAACATTAAGCATCTATAACGAACAAGAGAAAATACAATAACAATAAATGCAATAATAATGTGGTAACACCTACAGCAATGCTAAGACCACCTTGTACTGTATAAAATGAATTGTGATGCACACTTTGCAAAGATAAAAATGATGCTGACAACTTAGGTTACTTTTAAAATCCACAGTGTACGTAATTCAATGTAGATGAGCCTTTAATATGCATTTTGTATACTTCTGAGTAATATTTTGTGACTTTTACTTTTGTCTTAGAATTAGGGTTAGAAGCAACATTAAATTTGACTTCAGCCAAGGCGGTGATTAGATTTATCTTATCTTTTCTAGTATAATGTCTTACATTCATCTTCTTATATGTTATATTTCTCATATACGTATCCGTCACAGTCATTATGCTGTTTATCTACTGAAGTTGCAACAAAACATCTAAGACCCTAGGCCTTGCAGGTATTGGGTTTGATACCCCAGGCCTTGTTTTAACAAGGACAATTTTTAAATAAAAGGTGTTTGCCGTGCATGGGTTCACTTTTGTCTAATAAGCTTGGTGTGCTCTCAGTACATAATTGTTACACTGCTGTCATTTTTGCTGTAATCTTTTCAAAACTGTGCACCTCCTGCTGAGATCAGACTTCTCTTATTTTCCACTTTAGAAGAGCCCTTTTTACTGTCAGTGTTAAGCTTTGCTGTCTCCTTTAATAATCTGTGCTGTTCCAGGAAGGCTGTGTGTTAACCCGGCTCTTCTCATTCATCTGCCCATTCCTTCACTTGGAGTCAGTCTGTTGTGAGACGGTCTGCTAATTATACTTGACCAATACAGTGTGAGCAGAAAGCCAGTTTTCCCTCCAGGATTAACCCCTAGCTCGGCTAACATCGCTGTGAGACTCTAATTGTGCTGCCATTTCCCTTTCATCTTTTAAAAGATTTAAACGCACGTGAATCAAACATGTTGTAACTTTTAATCATCCGTCCTGCCCTAAAGGAACCAATTAATTTTTCTAAAATGACTGAGGGAGAGGTGGAAGAGGAAATAGACTTGAATAATTCTTTTTCATTTTTCCCCCCGAGTAAGAAGTAAATAACTTTGCGTGCTTGAATTATTTATTTCAAAGAGCTGGGTTAGATGCTAATTGTTAGGTCCTGAGAGTTTCAGATAGTCCTTTCTTTGTGAGGTATGGGGATGTGTTTAGAAAAGCTTAATCTTGGGAAAACAAGAGCATCACTACAAGCCAAGCTGGCTTCTTACCAAAGGTGCTGAGCCACATTTATCAAAGTCAGCCGAACCAGACTCAATTTGCATCTCAGTGTACGGAGAGAATACCTTGTGAAAATGAAGAAAATCCAATATAGAGTATTTAAGCACTTTCAAAATTCCCCCTATACTTGAACTGTATCCAGATTGCAAAACCCAAGTTCTGATGGCACCATCCTCCAGTGATGAGATCCTCAGAAATCCAGCCACTTTCGCCGCTATGCTGAGCGAAAAGCGCAGTCACATTTTCCACGTTTATGACAACAAACTTTAAGCCAATAAAATACATAAAATTTGGTTCAGTGGGTGAATTGGAAGTGTTTGGTGGTCACAACACAGAAACATCAGAAGATGCAAACAACGTCTAAACTGCAAAATATGTACCGTGGGGTAACGTTAGCTTTTTAACAAACGCGCCTGAAGCAAACTACAGACAGCACAGCTCTGCCTCCTGGACCATGGGAAGCCCTTTCGTCCGCTTGGTCAAGGAGGCACTCAGGAAACTCCATTTTGGTCAGTTGGCAGTTTCAGCTTTGGCCCTTAAACACAATCCAAAAGCACCGTTTCTTTTAAGTTCCCTTGGTGTAGCAAAACACAAGGTAAAGAGTCTCTTCTTATCCTGTTTGAGTATTGGCATAACTTTCCCCTCACAGGTGCTGGGGCTCATTCAGAACATGAGTGTGTTCCAGTGTCCGAAGTGTCAGCACCAGAGTCATATATTTGGAGCTGATGGAGCGAGGGAGCTGGCGGAGAGCCTCGGCGTGGAGGTGCTAGGTGAGGACACTCCTCCATCCGGCCGGCGATTTGTATTCTACTCACAGCCCTGCTGTATTGAAAGTGAACGGCCCATAAATCCCCTGGTTGGTACTGCTGTGCCCTCGTCACCAGCCTTCTGCTCGCTGCACAAAACCAGGCTCCCAGACAGTGCTTGGCTTCTCTCGGTTGGTGTTGTCGTTAAGTTGTATTGTGTCATTGCCACGGCAGCTGATTTTATTAAAGCTCTCTGTCATGTATTAGGGGATTGGACCCATTCGATATTTAGCGGTTTTGGGAGAGTTTCCCTGGAGAGCTCCCTCAATCCATGCAGATGTGTGAGCTAACGTTCCCCTGTGGCGTCGGGGTGGAGAGGATCAGCATGATGCGCCTCGCTGTGATCTTCAAGGTCCTTTTGCATCAAAGCACATCTTGCTGAGGCCTATCTGCAAAGGCCCCTGCCACTGCCTAGCACCGCGAGGAGCAGCCAGAAGACTGCTGGCGCGCCTGCGGACTCGCTCTCTCCTCTCAACGGCTTTCCGTTCCCTTTTCTAGCCGACATCCCGTTGCACATAAATATCAGAGAGACCTCAGACAGCGGCCGGCCGGTCGTCGTGTCTTCCCCTGAGAGCCCAGAGGTTTGTTTAATTTCACTAAACTACAGGGTGCCGAGAATCAGAGCTCTGAAATGATACACTGCATATGTAAGGCAGCAGCTGCTGCAAAATTGGAATACCAAATGATGCCCCCCCACCCCACCTGTTCCCTCTCTAGTTTTCTTAAGTACGTTGGATACTGAAGCATGAAATTGCAGCAGTAATTTTTGTTTTTTAAATGCAATGTATTCTGGTCATTCAAGACCGCAAAGACCTGTTTTGTATCATGATTTATTCTGGTAAGATTTGATCATCCCAGTTGTTCTGCATCTGCTTCGCCAGCTTCAGCTAGGATTGGTCGGGTCTCAAGGCCAGACCAATCATAACGGCCTGTTCCACCTCTTGGAAGAAAAGAATCCGACTGGTCAGACTTTCCTTTCAGCTCGTTTTTACATCTAACTGTTCAACACTATGAAAAGCAGGACGGAGGTGTTATTTCAGGGCTCTGTTTTGTTAGGAAGTTTTTCAGAACATCTTTTTTTCTTTTATTTACCAGTGAGTTTCAAGCCATTGTGTAAAGCTGGGTAAACATTATCATTAGAATTTGGTATTTAGCTGTATGGAAAACAAATGAGCTCTTAATATATTTACAGTATGTTATCTGACACGGTGTTGCTTGAAGTCATAAAGAGACCATGGAGAAATCTTTCTCAGCCTGATTTGCTATGCTGTTTAAGGAATCAGACACATTTCATAGGAAAAATCAGTGTGTGCAGTATGCGTGCATACATTGCATGAGATTAGTGCTGAACAAGTTGTGTCGTTTGAAAAAAGAGAAAGGTCTTACTAGAAGGGACTATTTGTTCTTCTGACAGCCATTTACTGCAATTACCAGCTGTCCCTTCGTCCCTGTAACTGCTCTAGCTGGTCATTAAATGGACAGTAACGAGTGGCCTCCTTAATTACTACTCTGCTGCATCTCTGTTTTAATCTCTGGGATAGTGGACTGGTTGATTGGGAGAGATTCTGCTAGGACTGACTGTTCCTATGGTGTTTCATCTTCTCCTGCCCTCAACCACCCCGGTGTGGAACTGGGATGTGTGCCTGTTCCTGCTTTTACCTCACTACACCACACACCCGATGCAGTACAGCTAATCGCAACCCCCGTGTAATAACAATTGTTAACGATGCCTGAAGCTTCTGGTTTGATATCCTGTAGATATTTAGTATTTTGTATTAAAAGAATGAAAAAATACCGATTGTTTGTGAGAAATATATCTAACCCAGAGACCCCAACTCTAGTCTTCAGGGGCTGATGTCCAGTTGTTATTATTGGTCTCTTTAGATTTCCAGCTTCCCAAGAACAAGGAAAGGCTTCAACGTGTCCTATTAAGCAATAAGGAGTTCAGTTTAGTAAATAACAACTCGGGTGGAGGGAGAAGTGGAACCCTTCTTACCCTGCAACACTGGTGGCGCACTCCCTTGATCTATACACCCCACTGTTCCCGCTATGGAACTGGTTTGCTCATCTTTTTTTCAAAGTGAAATTGTTATTAAAAAAAGCTCGGCATACTGTACATACTGCTCACTGCATGACACTAAATAGTATTTTTGCTCTGGAAATTTTGTTTCATAAAAAAGCAACTGTTTAAAAAACTGTTTAGAATTCTTTTCCCCGTGGGCAGTCTGTGGGCAAACTGCTCATTCCATAACAGATGAACTAGATGGGAAGTTTACCTACTGTTTGCCCACAGGGAAAATGGGCCTTTGTCTCAAAATGAGATTGCAGTAATTGATTCCACTTTTGGAATCAGAAACAGTTGTGTACTTATCACACATGCCAGCAGAACAGTGGCTTCACCCACTGCTGCAGACAGAAGGGTTTCTTTAAGTGCTTTAAAGCCAAGGGAAACCTGCAAAACAACGTTCTGTGCTTAACATATACTTTGTCTAAATTGCACAATTGAACGAGCTGGGGAGGCAGAGTGACTCTGTATCTGGCATTCCTAACCTAGACACTTGAGATTGGCAGACCATGTCCCAAGTTCTCTGGGGGGGGTTGTGTCCTGTCCAGTTGGAGCTGGAGGGAGATTAACCTGATTTCCTGTGTTTCCCAGGCCAGAGCTTACCGAAGGGCTGCTGAGGAGGTGGTGAGGCGCCTGGCCTCTCTGCCGGGCTGAAGAGCGGGAGGCTGGGTCCCCTGACCTCCTGCCGTCAACGGGCAGGAGTTTCAGTCCAGAGCCTAGGGCCCTAGACAGAGCCCTTGGAGCAGGGGGCGAGGTATCTTCTGCTGCGAGCGATGAGCAGTGTCACGCACTCTGACAGCATCACATGATCTGCCAAAGACCCTGAGATAAAGAGCAGCTCGATTTTTCCGCTTCATTCCTTGGGAACATATCTAACGCACTCTGATCTTTCTACAGCCTCATTGTGCTTCCACTCACAGAACTATAGTACTTTGTTTCTATTTGCTCTCCTACTGCGTCTCCCTGCTCTTATCAACCCCCTGACGAACCACCTGAACATTTTTCGCACATTGGAAACCTTCCCTTTCCTTGTCTTACGTGTACAATCGGTATGTTTCTATCACAGTGCATGCTTGCCTTGCCTCCCATGTTGATATTTCACCTTCTACTCGTGCTCGTCTTTCATCCTCTCGTGTGCCTTGATCAGGGCAAAAGAGGGAGAGGAAACAGTGGAAAGTCCAGATTCATTTTTTTGAAGTGAACATATTGTGTATTTTTAGGAATGAAGAATCATCTGAAAAGAGAAAACAGCACAGTTTTTTGTTTTAAAAAAAGCCTGTTTTGTTGTATAGAGATTATGCTGTTGACCTTACTGCTGAATATGGTGCATTGCCATCTATTTTATGACAGTTCATTCCAGTGTTACTCAGTTTATTCCAGTATCATTCATTTTAATTATAGACTAAGGAGATGTACATGTGGAATGAGAATACTTTGTGTGACCTTTTAAAGACGTTTCTGATGTATACTTGACAGGTGCCCTTCTCTGCATTCTGTACAAAAAGAGGAAAATTGTTTTCCCTTTCTGTGGCTCAGATGAGTTTTTCTATGTCATTTTGTCATTTAAAAGCCAGGGGAACAGTGGTGACATTTCATTGAATTTGGCTGCCTCTGCTGACTTTTGTACATTCTGTTTAATCTAAATGTTTAACGTGCGCCTGCTATGGAGTTTCTCACAAAATGGAACACAGAAAGGGTTGAAGAAAAGTAATGAAGTGGCTGTGTTTAAAGACATCTTCCTCAACAGATGGAGTTACTTTGGAAACATTACTTTTTTCTTTCAGTTCTTTTTTGTCTTAAGATCTTAAATCTTTTCTATTGTCTTGAATGCCTTTTTTCCTTTGAGGAAAGGATTGGTTAATTATGGTTAATTGTCCTGATTTTATAGTATTCCATACTGTACTTGACAAATCTAATGTGTACATTTTGTATTATCATTCATACTCACTGCACACATCCGGGAACATGAAGAGTTACATCTGCACCACATAAAGAATTCATAAAGAATAATCTGCACCAGAAGAGCAAAAATACACAATTCAAATGTTTCTGTGTTCACGACAAAATACTCCTTATCCTCACATTACTATCAGAAGTTTTCTCTTCGGTCCACCACTCCTTACTTTTTTTGCAATCATTTTTTACTTTGAACTGAGATATTGCAAAACCATAAAACCTCTCTGTGCCCGTTTATTGCTGCCAACTGCACACAGAGAATTATGGCCTCCCACTGTATTCAAATAAGCCATGTTGCTGCCCACATTAAAATACACTATTGTACTGTATGTGTTGAATAGAATTAGGATGTTGTTCTTGAAGTCATGAAAACGTTTTGATGCAGAAAACGTTTTCGTGTTAAATTGTGAAATGTCAACAAATACAGTTATTAAAAGCAGATATTTAGCAAGACTGAAGGCAGGAGTCTGCCTCATTTGTAGAAAGTAGCTGATGTGCGTTATTAGGGTGCTCCAATGTCCCAACAAATTTCTCTGGACTATTCTTTCCTGGAGTCCCCTGGACTCTGGCTCGAGTCTCTGGATTTTCTGATAATGTCTTTGGTCTTGTATAAAATCAAGTCTTTTTCAGAATATATTGTGGTGTTTTGGAGTAAACTGTATGAACTTTTGAATCTCTCCTGGCTCTCTGTTCTCAGCTGCGTGATCATACATTCTTGAGTCTACCTTATGAAATAAGGCAACAATCACAGGGCTAGAAAAGATATGAACATGCTAGTGATCTGTGAAATTTTAATAAAAGGAATCAAAAAAGGTAAGGTAAAATCATCACTTTTGTAGTAATATTATAGTCCACGGCCTAGATCACAGTCCTGTCCGCAGTGTTCCTAAATACATCAACTAGAAAGTGTTTTCTGAGTTGTCGTTCCACGTCTTCCTTCAGTTCGGATGAGTTGAAACGAACACTTTGTTTTTTGTCAAATGTCAGGTAGCTCAATGTGTATGTTTCGTAACATTGGCCCTGAAGGGTAATAAGGATTATTTCTTACTGTTCAAAGTGTTTTATGGAAAGGTGTGATGCAACAAAATATCTAACAATCTGGTAAAGTAATATAAAACTGGTAAAGAAACACAAAAAGTTGGAACCCAAAAACCCGAAAAGAGCTTGCAGCCTCAGCCGTGATGTCTTCCCTACACTCTCGGAAGCTCTCTACGGCATCTTACTTAACACCTCCCCAGTACCTTTTCTCCTTTTACCCCTCAACGACTTTGTTCTCATCTCTCTGCCACCTGCCCCGCCCCCCGCTCGCTTGAATTAATCTCACCCCTCTTTTCTTCCCTTGGCGTTCCAGGGAAACTCGTCTCCCCAGAAAACTCTAGGTCCTCTCACCACTCTGGACTTTTGGGGCATCTCTTTAGATTCAGTTTAATCTAAAGTTAGGTCGGCCTTCCTCCTTACAAGCTGACTCATCTCTCATTTTCAGATTTCACATTTTATCACTAGACGCAGCTTGTTGTCTTTGTTTGGGCGGTCCAGTGATGCTATCCTCTTTAAACCACAAGGCAGATCTTTCATCTCTCAGGTTCCTGCTCCTTCTACGACTGTCGGGTTTCTCAATGCCCATGTTGCTATGTCACCTAACTCCACAGGATATCAAATTGTGGAGTTTTTTGCTACACCACTGGAACGGCCTCTCTATGTTTTACAACGATTGGTGTTCTACTCCGCATAATCTGACTCTCTTCACCAATACTTCCTCTGTCAGTTTTTCAGATATTTTCGAAGCTCAATTGGTTTTGTAGTTCCAGGCCCTCTCAAATCTAGGAGCTCTCTCCCCATGCACGATCCACAGCCCTTCTGCAACTCTGTCCTATAGTTGCAGCCGCCCACGTCTGGGGATACCAGTGGATGGGAAAATCAATTCTATTTCATTGTGATAGCAAATCCACCATTTTCATTAACGATAAAGTAAGATCCTCTTCCCCCCTGATTTCAAGCCTCCTTCACCATCTCACCTGGATTACCCACAACGTCCTGTCAAGAGTTTAACATCTCCCTAGACTTTCAAATGCTGCGGGTGACGCTGTTACTCTTTTGCAGATTCCCAAATTCCACAACATGATGCCCACCGCAGCTCCTTCCCCTCTTCAAGTTCCAGAGTCCCACAGTCTTTTATTGACCAGGATCAACTCTTTCCGCCCAGCTTCAAGCAGCACGTGACTACATGTGTCTGCTGCTTTAGCTCCACCCACCATGTGACCTGGACAGCATACACCACCTTCTGTGTATCCCACTGGCTGCCTTCAACTCCATTCAGCCTCACTATTCTTGTCGCCTTCATTGCCTGTGCCAGAGACACTCTCCAAGTGCTAGAACCTCTCTGGGATTCAGCTCCCCCTCACGATCCAGTCTAATGAGTGTCGTACCCTGCTTTCTATTCTAGCAGTCCGTCTCGCGCTTCATGGAATTCAAAGACAACACCTCCAATCGTCCCTTCCAGGAAGCCTATCTCCTCTGACACCCTCCTCATTTCATCTTCCGTCCTGAGATTAGGTTGTTTTACCCCCTGCGAGGATGCACATATGGCTGCAATGTGTCGGACTGCTTTTTTCAGATTCTGAAGAGCTGTAGAATCCTCCAGTTCCTCTGTATCTCTTTTTCCAGAATCGAGTCTTATCACTCTGCGACCTGTCTTGTGTACCAGACTCCCACTTCACTCATTTCTACTCTTTTCTAAAACGGATCCTCTTCGCGGAGGACATTACATCCATCCCTCCCCATCGGGCCCTTATTCGTTCTGCCCTTTCCAACTTTCTGACTCATTGAGCCTTTACTACCAACCCCAGCTCCTTTGTTTCTCTCACCCTCTTTATTGGTGGTAACCAGGCACAGGTTTTCTCACCTCCTGTCAGTTTTAATCTCCAGGCCTGGTCTCCACCCTCAGTTTTACACTCCTCATTCTTTCAGAACTGGAGCCCCCAGCTCACTGCTCGAAGTGCGTTTTTCCCCTACTGCTGTGCGGTCAGGCTCACACATTCACACATTTCCCCAGGTTTAAGTATGCATTGGCACACACTTTGTTTGTCCTCACAAACAAGTTGTTGGGAGAGAAAGTGTTGGGCGGAGGGGGTCCATCTCTTGTGGGGGGGGTAAGTGAAGCTCACTTCCCCCACCTCAGAATGGCAGGTCCACCTTGAGGCCTGCTGGTGAGGTTCTCACACCAAGAGCCAGAGGGGACCCCCGGCCACATTGTTCTCTTCATCCTCTGAGGGCCTGGCCCAGTCGCGAGGCAGCGCCTCTCGGGGAGTCAGGGGTGTTTATGTGCCAGAGGCTGCCGAGTCACCCAGCTCAAGCGGATCACTCCGGTTCTCAGCGCGGTCCAGTGTCCTGTACCTCGCTGAGAGCTGTTAGCAGAGTGGTGCAGCGGGACCGTGCTGGGCCCATAACCCGGAGGTCGATGGATCGTAACCATCCTCTGCTATGTACATTTTCATTAAAAAAAAAAACGGGAGCGGAGCGGTGGCTCTGTGGCTCAGGATCTGCGCCTGTGACTGGAAGGTTGCCAGTTCAAATCCCGCGGCCGGCAGAGGGATCCTACTCCGTTGGGCCCCTGAGCAAGGCCCTTAACTCTAACTGCTCCGGGGGCGCCGTACAATGGCAGACCCTGCGCTCTGACCCCCAGCTTCTCTCCCTGTCTGTGTGCCTGTGTCTCCATGGAAGAAAAGCTGGGGTATGCGAAAAGACGATTTCCTAATGCAAGAAATTGTAAAGGGCTAATAAAGAAACATGAACATAAAACATACCTTACTAGCCCTGCTTCTCTCCTTGTCAATCTGGTGGAACATGCTGTCAACATGGTGTTTAAATCACAGTGCATTTTAGGCCAGTGTAGGGTTACGGTTACACAAACTGCAGTTGTCCTTCTACTTCTACTAAATGACAAAATGAAGAGCGTTTACCCATTAGACCAGTTTTTTTTTAAACTTTTCACTTGATTCTTGATTCTGATTCTTGATTCTTGATCGGCTTCTTAATTTTTTTTTCTCTATTTCATATAACATTGAGTCTCAAAAAAATATTGAATTGGTAAACCCTTTGATTATTTAAAATAATAAATTGATCATTATTGATTAAACAAGGGTACCATGGTAAGAAATTGGAATTCCCGTAATTATATTGTGTGTCCACAAGCGTTTCTCGGCACTGTGACTGTGACTTGGCCAGTCAGGGAGGAAGAGGGGGAGTCATATGAAGATCCCCACAAATACATCATGACTTGTGTTTTTGTGTTTCAAATCTCCCGCAGAAAACTGTATTATTTCATGTGTCGTTATATTAAAAAGTAAAGGTAAAGCAGATGAAAGCAGCCATATCACCTTGCAACTCACAACTGGCAGCCCACTGGAGCTCAGCAGGTGTGAGCCTGGTCAGTACCTGGATGGGAGACCTCCTGGGAAAAACAAGGTTGCTGCTGGAAGAGGTGTTAGTGGGGCCAGCAGGGGGTGCTCACCCTGCGGTCTGTGTGGGTCCTAATGCCCCAGAGTAGTGACGGGGACACTATATACTGTAAATAAGCAGCGTTCTTCGGATGAGACATAAAACCGAGGTCTGACTCTCTGTGGTCATTACAAATCCCAGGGTGTTTCTCGAAAAGAGTAGGGGTGTAACCCCGGCGTCCTGGCCAAATTTCCCATTACACCAATCATGGCCTCCTAATAATCCCCCTCTATGAATTGGCTTCATTACTCTGCTCTCCTCCCCACTGAGAGCTGATGTGTGGTGAGCGTTCTGGCGCACTATGGCTGCCATCGCATCATCCAGGTGGGGCTGCACACTGGGGGTGGTGTAAAGGGCTTTGAGTGGAGTGTCCAGAAAAGCGCTATATAAGTGTAAGCAATTATTATAATTATTATTATAAAGCCAATGGAGTCCAAGTTCTCTCAGCCTCCATGTTCAACGCACACCATTGCAGACAATAGCCAACAGGGGGAGCTGTTCGTCCCACTAGCAGGGAAATTAACCCAAGGTTTTCGTTTTATCGCTCGTATAAGGGACGAGGTCCTGCAATTTCTGCATTTGAGTTAACTGAACTTCACCGCTATTATATAATGCACAGCTCGAGTCCTTGCTTAATCAGGGGGTTAATAATATGCAGACTTGGTCAAGCAAGTCTCTGTGACTAAAACAAGTTTAATAACTGACGTATAACTTTTGAATAGTTTAAAAATCTCCATTTTCTATGGTTTGTCGTGAGGGAGATGAAATGCACGAATATTGTCACGAGCCATTAGTAACAAGGAAAATGCCGTACAGTTCTCCTCAGATGTTTTTGATTAAAAAAGAACGATTGTGTCTGCCTAGGTTTTGTTGTGATTTAGACCCCAGGGAATGACAGTTATGTAACTCGTGTTTCATTTGGCTTAGTGCAAATAAATGATTTAGTTTTGCTTGCGCATTTCTAGTGCTCTCACGGCCGACTTTGGTATTTAATTATGATTTACAGATATATACAAAACAGACTTTGCTACATGTAACCCAGTCAGCATTATTTGAAACAATTTTGTAGTGTAATTACTGTGATTTATCGTTCACCTTTGGAAAAGAAATGCCTTCTAAAGACGACTAACATTTCTTCATGTGATGTGATCTTTAATGTCTAGTTCGTTCGTTTGGATGAACCTACTGTTACAATTCATATGTATTTTATTTTTATTTTGATATTTGATACTAGGAAAGCACTTATCTGAGACCAGAAATGAGACTCAGTCTAGATATTGCCCAAGATCCAAGATATCCAGACTGACGCCCCTGATTCTTGTTTCTAACCAACAGTGCATCACAGGTGTTACATAAACTGCAAATTGCCAAGATATGTAAGCTATTTTATCAGTTTTTAGAAAAAAATCCTACAGTCTTTAAAATATTATTGCATTAAGGAAAGTTAATTTTACCACAACCTTTACAAAAAAGGTCTGAAATGCTTGAACACTGATAACTGCTAATCAGGACATCAGTTTACTGGAATTCAAGTTGAGTAACAAATTGTTAACGCCTGATACTCAATTTCAGACAATTTACTTTTGACCCATGAGCAATGCAAAAAATCTTCTGTTTATTGTGGACACCACTACGTACTTTCGACTATACTGTGTAACACATCAAATTGATATGAATCATCCTGTTACAAGAGAGTCAGATGCTTTACTACTCTATTTGCATTGATTATATCTGCATCTTTTTCAGTTTCCAAGTATGTGAAATATGAAAAGCATTCTAGTGAAGCAAGTCTTTGCACAATTTCAGCTCCTTATAAGTGAGATGGTGAACATTACATTATATGAGAAACTGAATAAGAAATCAAGGTCATGCTGAGGTTTGAGGATGAACACTGTGGTAAACAATACAGTACTGTTGCATTGGTTTCAGCAAAGTGTTTAAGGTCCTGGAAACCTTTTGATGCGTGAAAGGCCATGTTTTCTGATGTTATAATGTTAAATGTATAACTTTGTTGAGTACCTACTTTTAATAAATCTCCTGCAGGTGTACAAAAGTGTACTTTATAGGTTCCTACACAGTAAGGCATGAAGAAAAATTTTAAACGGGCATTATGGAATTACATTTCAATGTAAAGCTCTGAAATGTGTTTGTGAGATTTGAACATTTTCTGGGTGATAATGGAATTGCAAAGTATAAGAACTGGCCATTTCATGGCTGAGATCAGAAAAGGCTTGACAACACTTTCAAATCTGCAGTGCCAGGTACGTCTATGGTTCAGTCTGGAGAGCCTTCTGCAGGTGCTCAAAGACACAAATCATCTGATCTTCCGACCAGATCAACACTGAGAAAAACGACAAGGGTATATACCCCCTGCAAAATCATGTTCTTACAATACAATATAAGGAACAAACAATTCTAATATTGGGGATATACTATATATGATAGATTTGAAAAAATCGTTGCATTTTTTACCACCTTTTAGTGGACAAAATATATTTTGTCCCAAAGTGAAAACCCAAACACAATTGGAAAAACAGACATTGTCAAACTAAATAAATTAAGAGCTGAAAATCAAAAAATGCTGCTTGGTGCAAGGAATAACCATGTATTGATCCTCTATCAGTCAGACTCTTCCCTTTGTATGCTATTTGGTTGCTTTTCAATAGGTTACCAGCCTAATGAAACCTTGCAGATCCCTTGCTGCAAACCTGTATTGATTCATTTTTTAAGCATGCTTGCTTCTGTCACTCCCAGGCTTTGTGTGGTGATCTGAGTCTGGGTGTGATTGCGGAGCAAAGACAGGAGGATCGGGATCTCGCCCAGACACAGGCCTTCTGCTTACAGGCCCTGGCACAGAGTCTTCATATCACACCTGGGCTGGGCAGGAAGTGCTTCAGGCGCAAGTACTTGTTACATAAGTATACAGTAATTACTTCTGTTGTAGAATTTAGTCTGTGTGAGATGTATACTGTATGTCTTCAAATCATATAGTTAACGTGGCCGACCCTAAAAAGGTATTAAAATAAATACGTTCCATGATAGTTTAAACTTTACATTTTGTTGGCAAAATACTTTTGATTCCAGAAGGAAAACACCCTGTGTTCTTTCTTGTATCGCCTCATACTGAGCTGTTGTAAACCCAGTTCATTTTCCTGTGGACATGTGCCAGTCTGGTATTCATCAATGAGGGTGGTAGGTACTTTCCATCCGTTGTGAGAGAAGGACAGGAGGGTGTGAGCAGTGAGGGAGTTTGGGAATTTTTTAGTGTTGACTCGGTAATTCCCATTTGGATAAGAACGAGATATGAATGAGCCTTAGGCAGTTGCTTCTTCAAACTGAAAAAGTAATGTAATAAAGAAACAGCCATCAATCCACAATAACATT